GCACCCGGCGGCCGGGATTCCCGGCACGAGCGCCCGGGCACCGGTCGGCGAAATCGCTGCCGAAATGACCTTAGCTAGGCGCGATTCGGCGACCTCCGGTGACCGACGTTGCAGCCGTCGATACTGCGGTTAGCTCATTTTTCTGCGCGGTGCCTGTGTAATTGATTGAATATGAGCAAGCCGTTGTGGTATGAGCTCGTGCTTTTGCTCTACTTTTACAATTGGCTTTGACAGGACGGACTGAGACCAGCTTCGAGCTGCAGCTTTTGTTCGCCTTGATCCAACAGGTGTTGAGCTTCTTGTCATGGCATGCATGACGGCTGCTCAGCTTTGTGGCCCAAGTACGGTTAATCCAAACCGGTAATCAAACAGAGGAACAGAGTGCGTGACTTGCTAACTAGCGCCGGAAGCAAGTGTCAAACGTTCTTCCGATGATATCACGTACCATTTGTTTGAAGTTTCTAAAACTTAAATGCTTTATGTAAGATATTGTAGGCTTGTGTGTTCACTCTTTATTATCTATTCGTTTTACTTTAAAGGTAGGAAAATCATATGAACCTGATACCTGGACACATACCTAATCACATAATGAAAGACAACCGACTGCACAGGGGAAATCGGGCAGGGTAGAACAAGCCGAGACAAAACATATAAACCACGGAAGACACATTCCAATCATAAGTAAATTTTGATCACAATAAGGGCACCAGTCACTCATCAACGACGGCAACTCATCACCCATCAATGACGCTATTAACCATCAGTTACTGACCGTGTGCACGACAACAAACACAGCATCAACTGAGAGTTCCTCGCCCCGACCCACCCGCGACTCCCGCAGCCCAGCTCACCTTTCTCAACGCGTCCTCCATGACGAGAAACCTCTTGATGGTGTCGTACGCCGACTCTGTGGAGGGCTGCTCGGCTCCGGACCCTGCCGACCGCCGCTGAGGCGCCAGCTGAAGATGGCCGGCCGTGGCCTGTCGTCGCGAAGAGGTGCCGTACAGAGGCACCTCTGCCATGCCGCCGCGAGTGCCGGCGCCCACACCGGCCGCCGCTCGGCTGCTCAGCGTCGTGGTCGGCCGGGTGGTGGTGGTGGTCGTGGTGGTGGTGGTGGTGGTAGTGGATGGGGCAGAGGTGGAGGACACAGCCCGCGCGGCCGGCTGCGGCGCCCGCAGACCGTCTATTTGCTGCAGAAGGGTGTCCTCTGTGACGGGAGCGGTGCGCTCCTCAGCGGCGGGCGCCGGTCGCTTGTCGACGCTCTGCCACGCGTCTCCGCCGCTCGGGTAGTCGGCATACTCGGCCGACTCGCCGTACTGCGGCTCGTAGCGGCTCGAATCGAGCAGGTCCGGGTACTGGAGCAGGAAGTTGACCAGGTCTGAGCCGTCAGTGTCCTGTTCGACGTACTGAGAGCCGCCGGCCGGCAGCGGGTTTACCTGACCCGGCTGGCCCGCATACGGGGCACCCGCCTCGTCCAGGTACTGAGTACCAGGCTGGCCCAGGTACTGGACACCAGGCTGACCCAGGTACTGGACACCAGGCTGGCCCTGGTACTGAGTACCAGGCTGGGTCAGGTACTGTGTATTAGGCTGGCCCATGTACTGAGCTGGCTGGCTCAGGTATTCAGAGGCGGGCTGGCCGAGGTACTGAGCCCCGGGCTGGCCATAGTACTCAGCGGCTGGCTGACCCATGTATTGGGTTCCAGGCTGGCCAAGATACTGGGCCGGCTGTCCCATATACTGAGCCGGTGGCTGTCCCAGGTACTGCAGCTCATTCTGAGGCTGCTGAGGCCAGCTCGGCTGGGCCTGGTAGGGAGCTGAGGACAGCGGCACGCCACCAGCACCCAGGTACGGACCGGCCAGCGGCTCTAGCGGCGGGCCGGCTGCCGGGGCCGACCGGCGCACCGGCCTGGGAACCGCCAGCGGTACCGCCGGCCCGGAGGTACCGCCGGACGGGGCGGGCGGGTCGGACGGGGCGGGGACAGAGGCGGGGGAGGCGTCATTCGTCATCGGACCGATGGTGGGCGCGGCTGGCAGCGGGCTGGCAATGCCGACACAGCAGGCGACGGCAGCCAGAAGCAGCGGTGCGCTCTTCATGGCTGTAAAGGTGACATGGCGATCTTTTAGATCCGGGTGGTTTTTTGGCCGGAGACATGGTCAACGTAAGACAGTTTGAAACGTGGATAAGAATTGGTGGAGCGAAATTTGACCAGCAGACATAATTTCGGTGCGGCCCCGCGTGAAACCGTTTTTGTGTGTGGCCCCGCGTGAAATCGTTTGTCGAACATAAAGACATCCGAAAGGGTTTGATTTTGTCCAGGTCATGGGTCAATAGTGTTAGCATGGAACGACGAACGGCGGTTGTCTTCATCTCCACTGCCAAAACAAAGGCGCATCACAAAACTTCCGGAGTAAAACAGCTCAGATCATCTCTAGGCTTTTTTATATTGCCTCACAAATTGTAATGCCTTTCTGGTGATTTTGCAACAAACGTTAGGTATATCTGTGATACGCATGAGGAATGACACGTGCGATCTCCGAATTGTATTCACTGTAAGAAGTCTGAACTGCCCATTCTGATCAGATTGTCAGCTTCTATCTAAGTCCTTCAATTTTTATCTCTATTGCATCGGTAGCTTTTAGATCGAGTTACTGCTTAAATTGTTTTATTGCATTAATTATACAAAAACTTCATAGGTATTGACTTCCCCGTGCATAGGTACAAACAGTGACGCTGGGCTCACCTGATCTGTTTGTGTTTGTTTGCGCTCTCTGTGTTATCTGAACTGGCGACACTTTGGGCCGACGGGAGCTGACGAGCTATTTTGGCTGGATCGGTGTGGTCGCAGAATAGCGTCCTCAGACCGGGGCAGGCCCCCCTTATAGCATCGGCGGCAGCCACCCTCCCACGCGTCTATGAATGAAGCCCGTGTGTAACCAATGGCGGCGGCGCTCTCAGGCAGGTCAACAGTAACGCGCGCGCTCATTGGTCGGCGCCCTATCGACCTGACCGGGCCGGTTGCTAAGAGACGGTCTGGCGGCCGTTGGTACTGCTGGGTTCAGGAGAGGCGGCCGGCCGTACGGACCGGGCCGAGCCCTGTGCCCCACCCCCGCCGCCCCCGCCCCCCACCCCCGCCCGCACCGGAAGCTGCTTTTCGTCCGCCGCTCGGCCGGCGATGGAATCTGAGTGTGCCGGCCGGCCGGGCCGGGGGGCGGCCGCCCGTTCAATATCCGAGTCGCTGCCGCGGGGGTGGCTGCGCCGCAGTGATAGACCTGCCGGAGATGAGCCCAGCTGATTGGAATCGGCCAGAACGAATGGGCCATACATTCTCGTCATTTTCCCATATAATGGACATCCAATATTCGTCTGGCTCGGTCCTCGTCGTGTCTCGGCTTCAGTGGGTGTATGTGTCTAAAACGAGAGGCTTCGGCTCAGCTGACTTGTCTAGGTAGAATTAGTTTGAGAGTACTTTGATGAGCTAGCTTATCGACATGGCCTGCTATTTATACAAAGACTGATCAAAGGAGAACACGCTGAAATACACAAAGAGACGCATGCTTGGGAAGGTTATTTTCCAGCGTGGAACACAATTTGACTAATGGACCTTTAAACGTTTAAACTGTAAATGCCTAGCATTAACTCTACTCTTTGGTTTCATTCATTCAGGTGACAAGGTAAGAACATTTTTCAAGCACTTTTATTAAATATGTACGTAGCTTACCAGAAAAAAAACTTTCCAATTCTGTTGTATTTTTATAACAAAGCTGATAAAATGAGAGCATGAAACGAGCTTTGCTGCTCCAAATGCTGTTTCCAATTGATTGGGTACATATCAGTTAAACAAGGCTTAATTATAATCAAATGACGAAGCACTCTGGTGAACAGCATTATATGTAATATATTTAATGGAATAACCTTCTGTTCAAAATTGTTAAAATTGCTAAAAGTTACAAAAAAAAGCACTTGAATATATTTCGGAGGCGTTCCTTCATCGGTTCAAGTGATAAACATTTATCAACCGAAATATATTCAAGTGTTTTTTGTAACTTTTGGCAAATTTAGAATTTTGAACAGAAGGTTATTCCATTAAAAGGCTTACTTATATTTAACCCTCGCCGGCCGAGGGGGGGGGCGGGTGCCGCCCCCCCATAGGGTTTTTTTCGCGATAGCTCCGAACACGCTGGCGATAGAGAGCTGAAACTTGGCATACCTGACCTTTGATCCAAGCCGGATCTTTTGACACCAACCGCATTTTTGGGTCAGGTCAGGTCACTGACCTATGACGTCATAAGTGAACCTCTGCACGGTCTTCAGATGTCGCAACTTCGCAACGCCCTCACTGCCAGAGGAGATGTCACAGGGAAATGAAACTTGCAGGATCTAGTATCCATTATGAGTCCCACAACTTGTATATCTCGGATTTTTCCTAAAGGTCATATGAGGTCAGGTCATTTTCGTGACCTCACCATTATAAGTCAATGGGGAAAAATTCAAACTGCTATTCTGGCGCCGGGAACGATCTCCAACTATCTCAAGCACACAGAATCGTGATTTGATGCACTCCTTGCAAGGTTAGATGCGTCACTTTTGCAATGTTGACCTTGCGTGACGTCATTTATGACGTCATCAAGGTCAAATTAGTTTTTCGTCAATAACTCTTGATCAAATTGAGCTAGCGAGTCGGGAAAGGCACCAATGGACTCAGGAAGGACTGCCGAATCGAATGATATGCGACATGACCTCTTTCGACCAACTTCGTGACCTGGGGGTGCTGACCTGACCTTGACCTGAGGTCAACACCCCAAGTTGACCTGACCCGGACAAAAAGTATATCATTCGACGCGCCTGAGCGAGGCGAACACGATGCTGCCAAAATCGCCGCTCTGCGGCCGTTTTTTGCGAAGTTATTCACCAAAAACTGAACCGTACCCTGGGGCACTTGACCTGACCTCAGAGGTCACCGGTTGACCTAGGACCTTAAAATCGGGTACCAATCTCTGCGTCTCGTAACGGCGCACACGCTCGTTTTTTCCGCGACGCGCTAGCTCCACCAGGGGCGAAACGGCGAGGGGGGGGTCGTACCTGCCCCCCCCCCCTCGGCCGGCGCGTATGTAGAAAACCAATAGGTCCGGCGAGGGTTAATCTATAACAGGTATTGCCTATTCCTTCTTCTTCGAATGTACAAACGGAAGTTAGGACTAGAATTTGCGTTTGGCCCTTAATCGAATTAGATTGCCGAGCATCGAGCATGCTAATTCTCACAAGTTCTCCCAGGTCGGCAGCTGTTGCAGGTGATCCCGAAGCTTAAAAGTCCCGTCAATGACAAAAAGTCGAACTATGGCTTTGGTCATTTATTTTCGGCAAAGATGGTCTCAAATTTGCTGAAAAGGTTGAAGTATGTAACTACCTACAGGTAAGTTTCCTATACAACATTTTGCATTACCCGGGTGTAAATAGAGCTCACACGGGAGCTGAAGTAATGAATGAATGCCGAACTCAGATATTTTTAGGTCGAACAAAATCATCATCATCATCATCATGTATTCGTATGGCATCCGTTAAAACACGGCTTTTCAGCACAAGAGTCATTCCATATATGCACTGTCCTTAAGGCTAATGATCTAAGAGCCTACTAAAATACTAAGAATAAGCTATTTATACTCATTTTCTAAGAGATGCTATTAAAATCCAAGTTACCTACAAGCGTATTTTAACCCGCGCGGGGCTGGGGGGGTAAATTTTACCCCCCCTCGCGAATTTTTCCGATATCTCAAAAACGGCGGCGCGCAGCGCCGCCAAACTTTCAGTACCTTTCCTTACATCAATTTGACACCTTCCCTGAAAATTTGAGCGAAATCCGTCGGAAAATTTTTGAGAAATTGACGTTTTAGTGACGTCATGTTTGCCATTTTCGCCTCAAAAACGGCAAAAGTTCAAACGCCGCTAACATCTTCATTTTTAAAGGAATCAAGACGTAACAAAAAAGGTTATACGTAATTTTACTTTGTCTATCAAATGGCCATCTCGGTTTTTTGAAAATTTTGGATTTTGGCCTAAATTTTTTCAAAAAACTGATTTTTTTTGGGAAAATCATTATAAAATCCAAAATTTTGAGTCTATCAAAAAAACCGGAATATATGTCAGAGAAGTGGTCTATGTGCACCTACATACCAAATTTTAGGAGAATCGGTTCAAAAATGTGGGAGTTATTCAAAATTTTATGACGTCACGACACACAAAATTTTTGAAAAATGACTTTTTTGGAAGTTCTAGACCTCGTACGGAAACAAAAAATAGAACCATTCGATTTGCCGTGAAAAACTGCATCAGATAGACACCTTTTTAGGCCTTAACAACCAACTTCAAAATTTGACCTCACTTGACCTGACCTTGACCTGACCTCGACCTGAAATTCATCCAGAGGTGGTCCATATCACTTATTGAGTGTGCCTATTGAATTCTATGAGTAAAATGACCCATAAAACATGTGTCGCACATGCCCTTTTCTATATTTTGTTTTTTTGGTGATCTGACCTTACCTGACCTGACCTTGACCTTGACCTCTGAATGATATTGTATGCAACTAATATTGTCTTGGTAGCCTAAGAACACGTTTTGGGCGATCAGTCTCAGTCCATGACTCCATCCTTCGGCAACTACGGTGCAAGGCCGATACTGTAGAAACTTGCAATTTGTACCCTTGACCTGACCTTGACCTTGACCTCAAACTTTAAATTAAGTACATGTTTTTAGTAGTTCGTGATGAGAGCTTTCGATTGGCGTTTGAATTTTCCAAATCGGACCATTAGTTCGGGAGATAACAGGGGGGGTAAAATTTACCCCCCCCCCCCAGCCCCGCGCGTTCGGCTGGGGACCCCAGCCCCGCGCGGGTTAAAATAAGCGGCGACTATTCTATCTGGGTATGACCAGCCCGACATTTCCGCATCCCCGCGCGGAACGCTACGACCGTGCTGGCGTGGCGAACCTCGTTCGGCGTCTCGTTCCAGCTCGCTGCTGCCCGAAACCCGAAAGAACGTCTGGCGAGCTCCGTGCGGACCCGCGGAAGTTGCAGCATTCCCGCCATTGATCCTCGCGTTTCCCTCTCGGTTACACAATCGCGACGCTGCAGCAGGTCTCGCAAGTGCGATGGTGCATGGACAGAGTTGAGGAGGCGGTGCACCATGGCGAGGTCACGTTCTGTGATGAGTCGCTCTACTCTCGGCCACTCAAGCTCAGTAAGGTGAGGCGTGATATGCTGATGACGTCGGCAGCATTTAACTATTCGTGCACCATGAGTAATTATTTTTTGAACGCGTTTTCGCTGTGTAGCGTTGCATGCTGCCCACACTGCAGTTCACATACATTCAAAATGTATGTGACTATGTATGTGAACTATATATAAGCCAATAGATAGCAAAGAGCTTTATTAACTGCATCCTGTAAATACGAGTGTCTATAAAATAAGAGTACCTGTGAATACGAGTGTCAATAAATACGGCGCCAGAGTGCTGCAAAGGCACTCGTTGTTCGTAGCAGCCACAGGCGAAGAGAAGCCCGTGCATTCTGCCGTAGCGCTGCAGCAGCAGCAGCAGCAGAAGCCAGTTAAGAGCCCGCCGTCTCCGTGGCACAGCAGCAGTAGCATACATATGCAGACGACACATCACACAACAGAAGCCACCGCGTCGCCTGCCGGGACCGTGCTGTTTGCTATAAGCCAGCAGCAAAAGCAGAAGCGAGACCACATATCAGCAGCAGCCGCGCCGTCTGCTAGACAGCAGAAATAGCAGAAGTGGCAGCAGCAGAAACAACAAAAGTAGACAACACACAGTCACCGCGCCGTCTGCTGCCGCTCCGAGCACCATCTGGCTGCCCGGCCGGCCGTGACGGGACGGTAACGTTCCTCGTCCGTACTCCGTGACGGAAACGTTACCGGTGGCCGGGCACCGTTAGCGGCGGGCGACGGCGGCGGCGGCGAGCCGGCGGCGGGCCTCTGCGCTCCGCAGTCCCGGCCCGCGCTCAGAGACGAGCGCCCGAGTCCACAGAGCGAGTCCAGCGCCCGAGTCCAGCCCCCGGAGACAGTCCGAGTCCAACGCCAGAGTCCAGAGCCCGGGACCAGAGTCGGGGAAGAGAGGTAGCTGAGTGCGCCCCTCTGTCAGCGGCCCGTACGTCGACTGGCTCCAGCCGCAGAGACACTACCGCAGGTGAGACAGCGTTTGCAAAAAGACAACGAAAATGGCAGGAGCAAGATTATTTTTGTAAGTTCTTTTTTGGAGGTTCTACGTACCTATTTTCCATTACCAATTTTCCTGGTTTAGGCATTACTAATAGCAAGTATGAACATCGATGCAAATAACCTGCAATATAGGTACAGTGGCAATGCGTTATTTTCGTACATTCCTCGACAATCCATTATTACATTTGCCAAGGTTGCCGACCTATCCTAGCTCGTACCCTCTTTGCTCAGTCTCGAGCGGCCACTTGCATTGAGTGCCGGGTTGCGTGGGCCCTCCGATAGTCGGCACGCCTGGGAGTTTTGTCTTCCGGGTGGTAGCGGCGGCGAGACGTCTACGTCTGCATGCGGGACATTGCCGCTGTCTCGCTGTCCATTTCGAGTGGTTCACAGACAACTGCAGCCATGACTAGAATGGGAGCAGCTTTTACGTAATACAGTATGATGGAAGCTGCTGCCTTCCTCATGACAACCAAAACGAATACGGCGTATCTATTCGCCTGCCTGGCTACCTGCCTACGTTAATGACGGTTTTCAGTATTGCAAAATAGCAAAGCCCAAAGACGAAAGAGCCTTATGTTAATATTCTCCAATCCGCAAAGTACCTAAATATACATACTTACAAACAAGAATGGGAATTGCATGCATATGCGAACTTGCTCATGCATATGTAGGCTGGCGTGCAACAACTTAATCACATTTTCGAATTGCAGTACCTACATCCTGAAAGAATAATACCTGCTCCACCAGGCGTGGGATGTTTTAGTTGGTAATCAACTCAACGCACACGAATATTATATCTCATGTATAATGGAGGTACTTGGATAGTACCGTATTCAACCTGCATCCATTCCGTTCCGCGTCATCACTTCTCTATCTCGGCCACATTTTCTGAAATACGGAGCCGGATGCTGCAGTAGCCGTATGATTTAATCACATGGGGCACAATACCGTATCGACTAGCTGTGTGGCAAGTATCGCCGTAATTATCTCGCCAGCGGGTGGGCCGTCTAACGAATGGGACTCCCTGTTGATGATCGCTCAGAGCAAGACACGGGGTGCTCCGGAACCGTCAGTGAGTCGGAAAGACCGCGGGAGGGCTGTGGCTAGGGGACACCCCCACGGCCCGACCGGAAACGCAGAAAGGTTCTCTTGGGGTATTGTATCATGGTTTCATGAAGAGGGCTGTGGTGCTGGTTAACATTGTGAACTGATGATGTAGCGCTGTAACTCACTTGCTTTCCTAAGCCCGGCTGTGTGAATGGTTCAACTCACTCAGTGAGTTGAGTGAAGGCACTCACGAGTGCCTTCACTCAGGTCTTCTCTCAGCTCGCCTGTGGGGCAGTGGGGGTTGGTTCCGTTCCGTGTCACTGAGCCCCTCCCAGCTCCTCCGTGCGAGCTCGTTGTCTCTGCGCGTCAGGAGCTGAGCCGCTGCACGGGGCGACAAGTGCGGCCTGCAAACGGTCACGGTCCACTGCTCTGCACACACGGTCACGGGCGGCTGGCCCGGTCAGGTAGCGGTACGGCCTACCGGCGTGTGTGCTCATCTCGGCTCACATCTGACCCCTTCCCCTGCTTACAGTTAAACAGTTGATCTCGGTTCCATCTGATCGATCCATGGCTTACATACAGTTAACCATTTTATCAGCTCACAACTGATCCGGTCCACAGCTCACATCTGATCCGGTCCACAGCTCACAAGTGATCCGGTCCACGGCTCATATCTGCCCCGTTCCTCTGCTTGACCAGTTTATCAGTTCATAGCTGACCGTTCCCTGGCTCATATCTGACCGTTCCCCGGCTCTGACCAAATCCCAGCCCAGATCTGACTCGTTCCTCACTGCGGTCGTCCGTAGGGGTTATGTCGCACTGTGCATGGGAACGTGAAAATGTCCTTTTGATGAAATTCGCACGCCGGTACTTTTTTTGTTCATTTATTTGCACAGAAAACAAGGTGGTTTATCTGACTAAATCAATTTTACTACACCTTTTTGCACTCAAAATAGGCATCTTTTCATTCAATTTCGGCGAATTGCATTCAATTTTAGCGATCTCTCATTTGCTTCAAATAGAGAGATCGCTAAAATTGAATGCAATTCGCCGAAATTGAATGAAAAGATGCCTATTTTGAGTGCAAAAAGGTGTATATTCATGGCCGGGAAAAATCGTATTTGAGCTGATATGTTTTGAACCAGACATGGTTTCCAATATCTTTCCCTTCATTATGAATGTTAGAAAAGTTGAACTTTCTACTATTCAGTCTAAGCTGCGTGAAGCGCCGCTCATCCTGCTCACGACAAACGCGTCGTTACACGCCACGCTACCTCTAAAAACCACCGTGCTCCAGCTACTCCAGAAGGCGTGAAAACGGGCACGGCAGCGGCAGTCGGCAGTCGGCACACCTGACCCGGGTGCACGGCACTGTGAGCAGGCGGGGCGCACCATGTGCAGCCAACCGTGACCACACAGCGCCTACACTGGGCCGCCGGGTCAGTGGGCCAGCCGGCGTGGCGCCGCCGCCGACAGTCGCGGCAGCCGGCACAGAGCGCGACGCCCCGTCTCGGCCGGGCGCGTGGTGCCGGGTCTCGGGAAAGGCGTCATGTCAAGTCTCGGGAGGGCGTGGAGTGGAATCGCTGCTGAATGTTGGCGGGAGCCGGGGGCAGGAGAGGTGACATGGTAGACTGGCTGGAATGATGCAGGCCGGCAGCTGGGTACGGTGACATGGAGATGGCACCTATGACTTCGATAAAAAAAACTTATGACACAGTGAAAACTAAAAACACCATTGACACTAAGCAGATATTACCGACGCCGACACGACGCTATTGAAGCTGAGCAGTGAACAGTGATCGCTGAAGCATGTCTGCCCGCTGGGCTGCACCGCGGCTACCGCTGAGTGCTGGTGCTCCGACCGGTCCGTTCGATGGACTGTGACGCTGACGTTTTTCCGCTCCACGCTGGGCGTGACACCGTTACTCGGCGCGGCCGGTACGCGTACCGTCACCACAGACCGTCGAGCTACGAGTCGAAACTGACTGAACTGGGCCGCAATGTGTCGAACTTTGCCGAACTGTGCCAAAACACGCTATCAGCCATCGAACACCAGTCGCCCGCCCCGAAAACCTCTCATAAAACCACAGCGCGTTGTTCATAGGGCCGTCTGTTCGGCCACAGGGGCCACCTGTTGTCCGCTATGAACTGCCGGCCGTCTGGATTGGCCACCTGTTGTGGCGGCCACCGTCCCGTAACGGGCACAGGCCGCAGCTGATCCGGTCCGTGTGTTATGTTTGTTTGGTGTGTGCCGTGTTTGGGTTCCGTGTTTGATGACCATGGTGTCTGTTCTGTCGCAGGTTATGAACATGCTGCTGCATCTACTGTTGGGAGCGGTGCTGATCGCGGGAGGCACGGCTGACTTCGAGGAACAGAGCCAGTCGTACCGACAGGAACCAAGAGGTAAGAAATCGTAAAGGACCGGGACAACAGGGTAAGAAGTCTTACCTGTAGAGTAGAGTCTGACTTTGAGGAGCGGAGCAAGCCCATTACCATGATTTGATTCATGGTTCAAGGCACAAGCTATGGTTTTGCGATAAAACTCATAAAAACGGCAATCAAACAATAAGAACTGAAAAACATTTCAGTGGGGAGCGGCCCGATATAATAAATCATGTAGACGGAAACCAAATCTGCAACAGCCCTATAAAAACAGGATCATGAAATGAGAAATCGGACATATCATGGAGCATAGATAACAGTGGAACAGTAGTTCCACTGTTATCTATGAATGGAGCCATGATTACAACCGTGAGTCGAAATAGCGGTCCCAACAGACCAGCAACCACAATCATAGCAACCATCACAATCCAATTCCTTCATCGCATCACGAATGCCTTTGTATTGAAAAACCTGCTCGCTGCTGGTCATTTATTTTCTTGATATGGCTAAAGTGATTGAAATTCTTCTTTGCTGGGCGGTGAGCCTTTATCTTCAAAAGGTTCCACATATACATAGGTCTAATGAAACATATTTCTTTCAACACTGCGAGCTCAGACATCGCACGTGAAGCACACGTGCTCTGCTCCCGGAAGGTGCCGTTTTCATACCGCGTGGCGCGGTGAGCGATCCGTCTGGGGCCGCCCACGCGCCGTGAGGTCATTGCCAATCCGCCGCTGCCGCTACCGATGGATAGCTGCTAGAGGAGGTTGCCGACAAAACATCAATCAAACCTTGGGCTGCCGTGGGCTTTTGAAAAGCTCACACACTGATAGGGAGAGTTCTGGAGTCCTAACAGGCGTGAGACAAAGATGAGCGCCTAGCGACATCCGAGTAGGTATGTGGTGAAACTGGTAATTGAATCAACTCTAAAAGATTGTTGGTGAATCATGAGGTTCTGACTTCTGATTTTTTTCGTTTATTTACCAGCTCTCAGCTCTGATGCACTCAATACAGGAACAGAATATATCTATACCATCATCACCATCAACGATTGATAAATCAATAATCAAACAGTCTGTTTGGCTTCAGGTGACACTTCATAGCCGTTGGTCACAAATGTATAATTGTATAGGCATGCTCGTTATTAAACAATAGTCGATCAATCAACTAACAACGTTCTTATATGTATCAAACATGACGCATATGTGTGTACTGCATACCAAATCGATACCTGCAACATGCAATTTCTAACAAGTTTGTCCCGTTTCAGGTTTTGTGGAATCACTCACTGAAATGTTCGGAAATCTCGGAAACTTTCAGAGTGCGATCAATGGTGGCCTGGAACAGGTAAATAGATATCTTTTTTATTTTAATATGGGAGCTTACTTTTAGCACCTATGCTTAATGCTTGCTGCTGAGCTCGGCTTCAACTGAAAGAAACATTGCTGCATATTTGTTGAAGACCCGTATTACTATCTCAATCTTAGTTTCGGTAAAAAACAGTGCGTTTAAATGCAGTGTGTTTTACAGGGTTGGCAGGAAAATACCATCAACTCCCACGCAGGACCCACTGCCTCTGTTGACCAAGAGCAGTCAGTCCCTCACCCTCATGAACAGCTCCTCATGCAGTATGAAGAAACCTTCATGAGCGTTGAGCAGTTTCGTCTCGTGCTGATCCAGTGCCCCTCCTCCGCCCCGGTACAGGTGAGCGGCGGTCTCAGCGAGGCGTCTCGGTTCGCCTCTTTGGTCGGCGGTGACCTGGCCGAGGGCCTGGGCCCAGCACGCGGCTGGGCCGGAGGTCAGCTCCGCCAGAGCAGCGGCCTCATCGAGGGACTCATGAGGATGCTCGGAGTGGACTCGGACAAATTGGGAGTTATGGCGCTGAACGCGCTCATCTACCTGGCTGAGTGGGTGAGTTTGACGAACGGGAGTTGGGGAGTGGGTGAGTTTGACGAACGGGAAATGGGGAGTGGGTCAGTTTGACGAACGGGAGTTGGGGAGTGAGGGAGCTATATGGGGAGATGATGACAATGGGGTGAGTTATGTGACTGAAGGAGGGTGTCTGGTGATGAAGATTTGTCTTCTTGAGCGCTTTCAAGGAATAAGATTCCCTGACTCAAAGTTAAATGACGTAGGTATTGCGCTTGCGAACCTTTATCGTTTCTCGCGTTTCACGTTTTCATTGCGTTTTGCATCACAGTGTTTCTTCTCATTCCATTTCTAAAATGTCATCGCATCCATCTTCCATTCAGATTCATTCATCCAAATCCCGCCTTATGTTCAGATCAAAGTCTCGCGCAGTGTTCGTTTCCGCCTCGCCTCACTTCCGGTAGGTATATCACATAACAGCCTTAGGCACCAATAGCGATGCGTCGAAATTGACGCATCGCTCAGAGCTGGTATGCTGAGGCGCTGCGTCGTCTCGCTATGAAATTTGCCGCCGCATCGATCGCTGAATGTCTCCCCACCCACCAAAGGTCACACAATCAGCCCTTCGCGAGAGTGATGCAACGACAACCAATATCGCCTCCCATTGTCCAGCTCAGCGTCATTGAATCTCGCTGAAATTTATCCCAGAGGTCAAACGGAACCGGTTGAGGCCGCCTTCGGAAGACATTTTATTTTAGTTAAAAAAGAAGTAAGAATGAATGCTTATACACACGTATTTTCGCTATTGGGTGTGGTATTTATGTCGTTATAACCGGAATTCAGTTTGTCTAATATTTATAAGTCCAGACTTGACGTCTGTTGCTCCGGAAAGCATCATCAAAGGCCTCTCTAGGAGCTAATAATATCGTCACGCTCTGGCATAAGTCGTTACTTTTTTCATAATGTCCTCGCTGCCAGCCACGTTATATAACTGAAGTGGCCATTATCCGTCAGTATCGATACTCCTATTGCCGTTCCAGACTAGCAAAGAAAGCAAAACCATCAGACGCCGAGCTGCGACCGTCAAAATAGTCCCCATTAACCCTGTCGCTAGTGTGAGGAGCTTAGCCGGGCTCGGCGATCCAATCCCAAAAGGCACCAGCCCCAGAGCACTTACGCTTGAATCACAGTGGCGTAGGCTCTAATGAGATTTACTCTCCCGATGGAGTCTTAATGCATCCTTAGAGCGGTGCTAAAGCTTCTTACCAAGTGCCGGCCCACCAGCTGCTCGGGATAACGCTAATTCACGATCCCTAGGCCAACAGGGACAACCCTAAGGCAGAACCGTGGCCGGCGAAGGCTCCATAACTCATTTGATTGTCTGAATCGAGCTGATGTTCGATGTCTATTTATGGCTACTGATTAAGAAACTTGAATCCGTCATTAATTTGTCATGATCAGTTGTTTCATTTCCAGGGCAAAACAATTACCTACGGAATGGTTCCGTGATGGACGGCTATGGGTAGCTAACATTCTTCATTTAGAGATTGAAACGTAAATCACTAAATTTTCATTGGTCATCTCTTGGACTAGCAGGGTACAAGGCTGATGGGTCTGGAATTGCATTATCAGTGGAATTCAAAATGCATTTAGAACCAACAGTCATCACTCTCCTGCACACACGCGAACGCCGACCTTTGTGCTGGACTGTGGATGCGTCACCAGCGGCGAACAAGCGGCCCGAACAAGCGAGACACTGTATCAAACTCGTGGTATGCTGTACATACGCCACTACTTCTCCCACTTCATATAAGCACTGCTTTCGCTAACTTGGGTGTTAAGGTCTACTTAAAGGGACCCTCCCACCTTCAAAAAAGTTTATGAATTGGCATGAAAGTGATGTCGCTCGGTTCAGAAAGAGCGAAAACGAATATCTACCAAATTTCACCGAAAAATATTCACCGGTTTTCAAGATATTAGACTTTTACTTTTGTTTACTTTTTTGGGATCTCCGCTGTTTCTAGCGACTTTATTTTAGAAGTGCGGCGTTTGCGGCAGATGTTGCGCGCAAATAGCATATACCACCGCGTGCTACAAAACGTTTTAGTCAAACATTTAAAAATCGTTAGATATTTGCGCTGACGTCACACATTCAGAGGGGTATTCCTAAGCATTAGCCCCTCTGAATCAAAATGCTGCAATTTTGAAATTCAATATTTCCGATTTAAGGCATTTCTCGATGTTGTGAGTGCCGAAACCGGTAATTGTGAGCCAGGGACCCCATTTTGGCTATCTCAACTCAAATCTAATGTTAAGGTGGGAGGGTCCCTTTAACCGTTCGTTGCCACCCGGAAAACCTGGAAAGCTAGTTACGATGAGCCGGCGGAAGGCATGGAAGCTCGGTCGGTTGTCACCAATCCCTGCACCGAGTAACATAAGACGGTAGCTCATTAGCGCTAGTCAGGGGCCAGGAAGCCGGGCTGGGAATCCGAGAAGACACATGAGACTGATTGGAAGCACCGGAGAACGCGCAGATCTGGGGCGGGACGCACTCGCGGAACACATCTCTGTCGGAGGGACAGCCAGAGACATGATTGTACGAGTACTCGTACCTAGTACTAACCATGGCCGGCGCTACGGCGATTAGCAAACACTTATTTCTGCAAGCCACGCTTTCAGTTGAACGGGTACGGCTCAGAATGATAAACAAATACACAACTTAACCCTCGCATGTGTGCGGCGTTTGCCAGCTTCTAATGTGTAGGGGGGGGGGTCGGTTGGACCCCCCTTGCCGTTTGGCCCCTGATCGAGCTAGAGCTTCGCGGAAAAAACGAGCGTGTTGCCCGTGACGAGAGGAAGCCGATGATACCCAATTTTAAGGTCCTAGGTCATTGGTTGACCTTCCAGGTCAGGTCAATGACCCAAAGTCGGGAAAATCGGGACCTGTTAGAAAGTCGTAAAGTGTGGCTGCTAAGGGGTTTTTCGGGGTGCTGATCACGAATATCGTGATAGTTTTGATCACAGATGATGTCTTGAAGCATTTAGACCAGGTCGGGTCAGGTCAGGTCAGGTCAACCAGTAGGCGTGGTGACGGGTATTCGTAGTACGTGTCAACCACCTCTGACAGCTTCGTAACATGTTACGAAGTCACCAAAACTACTTCGTAAATGTTCAAATGGTTGCTAAATTCGAATTCAGCTCCAAAAACTAGCCTAGAAACATGTAAAACTCGAAAAAGTGACCTGAGGTCACCCGAGGTCACCAAAGGTCAATGACCTGACCTGACCTTCAGGTGACCTTGACACACACGGGAGTAACATCAAATCACATGTTGGAACGTTTGAAACCACGAAAAGCTTGCAAACACGCGGCTAGTGCGAGCCGACATACGCGAAATCGCGATTCCGGCCAAACATGGTCTCGGAAAAGAGGTCACAGGTCAAAGGTCATTTGGGTCAGGGTCATGAAATTTTCAGGGTAGGTGTAAAATTAATCAATGCGAGGGTACTGAAAGTTTCGTCGCGATCGGCCGCTTTTTACGCGAGTTATTTGCGAAAAACCATGGGGGGGGGTCCATCCGACCCCCCCCCTACACATGCGAGGGTTAAATGTGTTGGCAAATTACCATGGAAATCAGTTGCAAAAAAGCTATGCTTTTCGTCGTGCTTGTTGGTGTCGTGTCGACAATATCTCATAAAATTGGTGTGAAAACCTAGATGCAACCAGAGCCATGCCTTACCAGCTTCTTGGCGTTGTTTGGCAGTGGGTGATTATAATAGCCTGGATCAGATTGCTGGCCTTTGCAACAGCGACGACCGCGTACAACTATAAATGGCGCATTCGGTTTGATGTTACAGCCCACGCCCATTCCATTAGGCCCAAGGAGTTGCTTTGCGCAAATGTAAATGAGATGCCGTATTTTTAGGCAATGCGTCACTGGCAATCTCGCAGTTAAAAATATCGTCCGAATCCCAGGGGGAATGAAACACGGCGTAAACATTGAGTTGCGTCATCGTCTGTACCCGTTCAGACGGCATGTGTTGCCAGGCTCTGAGCGCCGCCTGCGGGGCAGAACAGCGACACAGCACAGCTTATAATCTTGTGCCTAGATGGCGCTAGTAGAAACGCCTGGTGGTTATGCTGTACCGCAGCGCTTTGCGTTGCTTGCGGCGCAGTTTGCCGCTAAGACGAGGCATTTACACTGTTTCAAAATGCAAATATTGTTGGCATCATATCTTGCAGGCTTCCGATTTCACTGAGAAGCACGCATCATCAGTTACGTTTGGAATATCGAAGCTGCATGGCCTATGGTTGTTAGTTGGTTTGGTCCGTACCTACCGACCAAGAGAATGAGAATGACAGATTTTCGTTCCAAAGAGACCTACTGATGTCGACGCGACGGATATCAATTGGCCCAAGATGCAATGGCTGACTACACATAGAGTAAAACCATTTTACTTGAAGCCAACCATTACAATTTACACATGAACACCTCATCTGGCCAATTTTAACCTGCGCCCGGTGGGGTCTGTCTGTTTATAACGCGACCTGGTGTGTGGGGGGGGGGGGCTCGTATTTTCCCCCCTCGTATCTCCGAAACTACTGGACGGATCCGCAAAATTCAAACGATGATTGAAAGTCTTATCAAATTTGTCGAAGGAAATCCATTTCTATGACCTTGGGGTCATCGATGACGTCACAGGTCAGGTCAAAGATAAAATATTTTGCCGTTCACGGGTCTTCTAGGGAATGCGCTACACCATCGAGTAAGACACATTTTATCGAAAATCAGCGATAGGGCGTCAGCTGCCTAGTACATACACATGTTGTTTTTAGAGGTCACTGATAATACCAGGTCAGGTCACAGGTCAGGTCACCAAGGGTCAGCACATAAGCCAGTGTTCGCCACGGGCCACAAAATCTCGGCCCAGCCCAGCCCAGGCCCATGGCCTGACAGCTCTCCCCGCGAAACCTTTTTTTGTCGAAAACGGCAGAACATGACGTCACTCTGACGTCATTTGCGGCCAACCTATCATATCCTTTGGAAAAGTTTTGCAAATGTGTAAAATTGATGCCCGGGAGGGTAATGAAAGTTTGTTGACGATCGGCGCAGCGGTTCTGGAGATATATGGAAAAGTCTGGAGGGGGGACAAAAATAGCCCCCCCCCCACCAGGGTGCAGTTTAAACGGCTGTTGAGGAGGTATGGAAAACAGATATGTACCTTTGAGCGTATCCTGATGTCATTAAATAGCAAACCCAGCCACACGCCACTTTAACGGCGCCTCTAAGCGTTGAAATGGCAGGGGAATCACGGGAAGGGAGGGCGCTGTTTCCGGCGCCGGAGTCCAACGACGCTCCATCATCCGCCGACCAATATTGGACGGTGACGGTGACGCCGGGCCCTGCCCCGCGCCGAGTGGGAGTAATTACACTCCCGACTGTAAACGGCTCGGCAACAGCCCCGCCGGCGGCCAACACCGCGTGCTGTTTTTCGGCTGCCAGCGGCAACAACAGTTCGACACTGCAGCTAATACCGAGCCAAGGAATGTAGACCTCGTGCGCCGAATTCGTAAACATCCATATTGGAAATGGTGCGCTCAATAGGTGCCGTGTTTGGTGGCATAGAAATATGGAAAGTGACGTTCGGAGCGGCGCCAAGGGAGGATTCTATTTACATAGATAATTAAAAAAGAAGTCTCCGGCAGCAGTCATTAGTACGGGCTAATGCACTTTTATGAGAGCAGGTTATTTCCCACGGGACTAACATTGGTTTTGCGGAAACTTTTCTAGCAGGCCTTTGTGGCGTGCGCTAAGGGGAAGACTATTGAATACAATATAACGCTCGGCTCTGGTTCGAACAAAATTTGTGTGAGCCAACAGCGTCTCACCTCTGATCTTTGGCCGCTGACCACGACCACAGATCTCTGTCTTTTCTCTAACCGCTGACCTCTGACCGCTGATCTCTAACCGCTGACCCTGACCCCTGACCATTGACAGCCAGTCTCTAACCGTCTGACCTCTAACCTCTGACCGTCTGACCACCACCCCACCCCCGCAGATCACCAACTCGGTGCTGGGAGAATCGAACACAGTGGAGAGTCGCTCCGGCGCCGCCCTGCTCGATTGGCTGATGGACGAAAACGTCGGCCACCTCTCCGCTATCGTCCAACGCGCCCAGCAGCCCTCCCTCCCCAAAACCATGATCGAGAGCCTAATCGACCGCACCGGTAACGACACGGCCTGCGTGCAGCTGCTCATCTGCAAAATGTCGCCGGTAGTGTGGGGCGCGCAGAGCGCAGTCAAACAGAGCTTCGCGGCGCGCTCGGTAGATGGCTCTCTGTTCGAGTCGTTCTACCAGTTTCTGCCGTCGATGACTGACTTTGAGCGGTACAGTGAGAGCTGCGAGGGACAGTTCCCCGCGTGTCCACTGATTAATGTATCAGATGAGGATGACTTTGGGAGCGCCATGTGAGACAGCAGGAGCTTGGCGGTCGCGGAGCGGCGGGGGAGCGTGAGGGGCGCACGGTCGTGAGACGGGGACCGTCTCTCGCTGTGCTGCATTGAGTTTTGCGGAAGGCGATTGGATATTGTTTCGCATTGCTTGGCATTAACGTGTCAGTTTCGATGAGTGTATTTAAGGGTGATGAGGACAGCGCTACTTGTAGTTGCAAAATGTTGTCTGACGGTTGTTCGAGTTACCAGTAGACAGGTCTCAAGCTAATCACATTGGGGACAAACTGCAGAGTGAACCGTCCCATTTTCCCGCGTTCATCGGTACTGCAATTATCATTTAGATTATGTCAAGGCTGTTATTATCTACAAAAATCCCCATCACGAAGGCCGTTTGTGCAATCTCACTTCGACGTGTATTGTTATTTATTATTGTTTTTTAATACACGTTATATTTGTTCATTGTCTTCCGTGACAGTTGGCGAGATGTCATGACGAGCTGGCATACAAAGCGAAAAAGCAGAAAAAATGCAAAAAATGGGGCGTGCTATTCGTAGCGGCATTACCCTTCGATCGCAAAGTGTAAGGACATACCTGGTTAAGTGCAATGCACATACTTAATACCTATATGTCAATTTCATTTTTAACCTGATAATGATATCGGGCGTGTCAACTACCCTAGCTTTGTCAGGCAACGGACACAAGTTGTACAAATCATGCCTTGATTGCATCCCATCTGCACGTTGCGATGACCGTTCTATCGTTACTTGGTATCCACTGGTTTTCGGCTCAGAAGGACGAAGTAGCGAAACCGGATCACGATGGAACTTTCCGGAGTGGCACCGTCACCCAGCAGAGCGAGAACTCTGAAGGAGGAGGGGGGGGGGGGGGGGGGGGGTCGCAAGGAAGGGTCAGAGAACATCACGTAGCAGGGTCCAATATCACGGAACAGTCATAGGCGCGGTGAGAATGGAACGAACCTATGGGCTTTAATGCGACTAACAAAGCAAAGAGTAGCGCGCTGGGCTGCAATAAGACAGAGAGCCAAAGACGTCGTTATAACTTATAATCATGATTATGAATGAAAACACAAGCATCTCATGACGAGCAAAACGCTCGGCCATATTCGTGAGGCGACAATCACACAACCATTGCATGACTAACCTGTTCTGAATGTCATCCAGGAACTTTTGTCCGGCCTCCTGGCCCTTGTCAGCTACCATGTTCTGGAACCCCGACCAAGTGCTGCAGTAGCCAACCATGTCGGCGACCGTGCCGTCCAGGTCACAGAAGGTCGACTCGTCCCTGAGAGGAAACAGGTCAATTCGGGTCACAAAAGGCCGACCTGTCCCTGAGAAGAGACAAGGTCATTTTTGGTCACAAAAGGTCGACTCGTCCCTGAGAAGAGTCAAAGTCAGGCTGTTATCTAGGTCACAAAGAGGACGATTACAGTTCAAGAAGTCATAGAGGGTCTCGACTCATCCTTAATGAGAGGTCATGATAAGACTACTAAACAGACTGTTTAAAGCTATAACAGGTCGACTATTCACTAAGACGAATCAGGTCAACTCAGGACACACGAGGTAGACTCGTCCCTGAGAAAATATGACAAGCTTAGACAGTTGCACAAGGTGACAAGGATGTTGTAAAGGTTACGGGTTGTTATATTGTCGGCAAAGGCATGTCCTTTATTACGACACCGACTCTCGGTATCACGAATAGTACCGTATGCCACGAAATAATACCGGTACTACATCAGATGGAGCATCATCAAACCGGGTTGAGCTCAACGGCTGCTGTTGCAGAATAATGTTCTTACTGCAAACGACATTATCAAATCATTATCATTTTCTGCCCTCCCTGTGAACGTGGTGCCAGGATTCGGCAAACTGGGTTTACTGTAGTTAAAGCTTACATGAATTCCGAAGTTTTTTGCCTACGCCATGCACCCAAATAGAGTGAGCTATGCCTCAAGTAAATAAACTCACAATGCATCGAAAACTATTAACGATTGCAGCGAGCTGCTTACTCCCAGTGGTGGGACATCCCCGGACAGGCCACCCATTGTCAATCAGCGGCAATGTGACCGCCCTCCCTCCCAGGACAGGCCACTCTGTGGCCAATCAGCGGCGATGTGACAGCCCTCCCAGGACAGGTCACCCACCTCCTGTGGTCTTCCAGCGGCGACGTGAACCTGCTGTCCGAGTATCCGTTGATGTAGGTGTCCACGCTGCCCTGCTGGATCCAGCCCGCCAGACCCGACACGTACGACTGGAGAGCGGAGATGGGAGCGGGGGGTCAGAAGACCGAGCGAGGCCAGGACCAAGTCAGACACCAGTTGTATGGACTCATTCTACATTAGTCCATGAAAGCACAGAATCTAGATAAGCTACAAACAAATGAACTTCAGGAAAGCTTAACATTACCTGCGATAAACATTAAAAAAAGAAAATCACCCAGCAGAGGCAACAAATGTATAAATTCCTCGTAGCACGACGTTCATCAAAGTTACTTTTTATTTACGACGGCAGACCTACTTGAATAAACCGTGTGACTGTAACGACAAGACAACGACAGCCGGCATAACTTCGGACCCACCTCAGCCAGGAGTTCCCTGACGTCCTCTCTCTCCCGGCCCTGCCAGACCGGCGCCGGCAGTCTATAGCCGACCAGAGCCAGGGCGCCGCCCGGTCTGAGCACCCGCGCCGACTCCGGTAGGAAGGTGCTCATGTCGAACCAATGGCACGCCTGGACGGCCATCACCAGGTCACAGCTGTGCGACGGCAGGGCGATAGCCTCTGCCGGGGATACACTGCGGGAGGGGTGGGTTTGAGCGGTGAACGCTGGGTCGGAACGGTCACGGTGGGGTTGGGTTATCGGTGTCGGAGGTTGGGCAATGTTCGCGTTGACGTTGCTAGTCTGCAGGCTGAGCGCTGATGTTATCAGGAGGTAGAGGTGAGTTTGACGGCGAGCAATCATGATATTTGTGCGAAAACATTCTGAAAGCTGAAAATCGTATTCAATCGCTGACCCAAAGCAAAGTTGCCCACATGATAATTGCCCATGCTGCGACTCATTCGTTTACTCGTATCTCTCGACTGCCGAACGAAGTGTATACTGTGTAGGTATTAGGTAACACTATTTAGGACCCGTCCCGGATCCACCCACAAATCACTCTCAGCTTACGACCGACAGCACAGGTCAAAGGGGAGTTCAGTTGCTACATGACAGGATCCGGCACGTCATACCTGTACGCGATGTTGACGGCCCCGGGGGCGGCCTCTGCCTTGGCCACCTGCGCCGGGCTGACGTCCGTGCCCAGCACGCGCTCAAAGTGCGGCGCCAGCAGCTGCGTGCCCTGGCCGGAGCCGCAGCCGACGTCCACGGCCTGCCGCAGCGGGCCGGGCACCTGAGGGGGCCGGAGGGTCAGCTGTGCGTCCGGTGGAGTGGTCCTGGCCCACGGATGCAGTGGTGGGACGTTTCTAAAACAAAGCAGGACGTCGCGCGGAGCCCGTGCGCCTTCAACCGCTCTAATCGTCCGCCTTATTCAACGATGCATCAGCATTTGACACTCGCAAAACCATCAGATGATCAGACATAAGTCATAAAGCTACAAAGTAACACATACCTACCTATGCTAAAAACTGAATCTATCATTTACTTTGAGCTCCCTCCAAAACAATCAACCACGATCAAGACAGAGGATTATGTAGAGACGGACGAACACAGCCGGTCGAGTGAGTGACCCACCTAGAACACCGGCTATCACTCGCTGTACACACCTTCTCTTTGATGTAGTCGCACACCAGCTGGACCAGCGTGGAAGGAGTGGCGGGCCGGTAGCGCACGTAGAGCTCCGCGTGGTTCGTACCCTCGAAAAACCGTGCAGCCATCGTGCTGCTGGTAGACAGATGGATGGGCGAGAGGGAGAGAAAAGGAGGGAGAGTGGGAGAGCGAGAGGGATAGAGCGGAAACAGAAAGAGAGGAGAACGTGTCAGAGACCGTATGATACACACGATGCAACAAAAAGGTATGATGCGAAAACACGATGAGCAACACCATTCAGCCGATCATTTTCCCGCTAACCGCTCGACATGAGCACCACCGCTCCAATCAACGGCATGATCGCAACAGATTCACACACATTACAAGTGACAGAAAGCCGCTCCATTTCACCCCACCAGTTCTCACCTTTCGCTTAGCGACTCTGATGTTCTCAGCACTGGAGCGGACTGGGCTCGCACAGGCCTGACCGGGAGACGGCGACGAACAGACGCCCAGACACCCTCCTCTACAGGCCGGCCGCCGACCGGCGCCGTCCTAACGGTTCATATACGACAGTCGCCACGTGGCGCGGCGAGACATAAAACAGCCACCAAAATAAACATGACCTCAGCGCATGGTAACGCTAATGGTTGAACAAGTGCTGTCACAAAGTGTCTGTGAGCCGTGAGGGGTGGACAGACACGTTTCTTTCGTAGAATGTCGCAAGTCTAGATCGACGTCCTGGCGTCCCCCGTCTCGAGGCATTTACATGCGTGTAGTCAGTCCACTAGCCACCCGTAAGTCATGAGTCATACTTCATGTTCAGCCAGTCTGACTCGACGCCTCGCCAGTCTGACTCCACGGCCCAACCGTCCGTTTGAATTCACGCTCCAATACCCGTACTGCGCCAGACGACGAGAGACGTTCAATTTGGCCAGCAAATGAGACATGCGTGGGCGCAGCACCTGTCGGACACCATCGCGGCTCCCATAAGCGTGTTACAGCCACGCCCGACAGTCTGAGTGGGCAGACGGCAGACAGACTGCTCAGCGGAGCCGGCGCTCGCCCACAGCCTGGCAACACGACACAGCCGGCGCCGGGAGCCGCGCGGGACTCCAAGTTTGCGGCCGCCCACAGTCCCGCAGGGCAGCTGTCCGCTCCAGGTCTGGCCATCCGGTCCGCGGCGGGGGCGGACGGGTCGTGCTTCAGCTAGCAACGGCCGCTTACCACACACGCCGAGCTCGCTCCGAGTCACCACCAGACCAAGAAAAATGAATAACTGAGCAGGCAAAGTCGCGCTTACACGTGGCTAACGGTTAAGTGAACGATAAATCATGCAATGGAAATGTCACGGGTCATCGGTATCGTCAAAATCACTAAAAATTTTAACGGCGAAATATAAGATGCTGGAAATCGTTCATTGCTTCCTGTGTATGCGTCGTACCTATGCGTTGGTACGAGACGCACATAGGGCCGCGGGTCGACTTGAGGCCGACTTGAGGTCAATGCAAATAGGTACGCCTACTGACGGTGCAGAAACCAGACACCGGTTGCACAGGTAAAACTTCAGCAAGGACCTGGTAGTTATACGGCGCAAATATAATCATACATAAAATGCAAATCAGATATTCATGTCTCACTGCGCTAAGCTAGTTTGAACTTTGACAAGCGGTATTCATCAGCATACGCTCGGACAAAACTACGGAGATACCAACTGCGCAGGTATTATGAAAAGAATTGATGCTACATTAATTACAGGGAAGCAGTAGAAAATGCGAAGAAAACACTTTGTTACATAAAGACCCTAATCCAAACTCAGGATATGCTACAAGATCGAACCCAGAAACGCTAGACATCTAGGGCCACTATCTGTGACTGCAACAACGTTTTTCTTCTTTCTTTTAGCATGTTACAACTTACAACTAAAACCAGCATTGAAAATTCATTTCACGATTATTTCGACTGGCGATTTACATCCACACTAGGGCTGAACAGCAATAACGTTTAGCGCAACGTCCAAATGACCAATTTTACTCCAAAGTTCAGCGTACCCAGCCCATCTGATTATTTTACGTCAAGGAAGCAAGTCTGTCGTTTGGGCACGTTAGGCGGGTGGTGGGCGCACAACTCACACCGGTTCTGGGAGACCGTCGGCAGGGGGCGTGATTGCATTACACTGGCGCCGAGGGTGTTGGACGGCACGATAATTGCACCTGGCTGGCGCGTCTCTCCGCTCTCAGAGCATCAGCGAAGTGGGTCACCATCCTCTTCAGACCATCCCACGCAGTCGAGAGCTGACAGCTCCGGGTACTGGGCGCGCACAGTCGCCGGGCTAGCTGCCAGCTCCGGATTTCGCAAAAAGTGGGGGCCGTGAAGGACGGGAGCCTGCCTCTGTGACAGTGTGAATACGAAACAAATGCAGCTGATGATGATATGTGTATTAAACGTGGGCAATTGTAACGTTCACGAGTATATGTGTTCTTGTTAAATGTGTTCAATAACATCTAAGGAGCGCCTACTAGAATTCGGTTGACGACAATTTGTGGGCATCCTCGATCTAAATATCATACGCTGCCTGAACGTTAGTCTCATTCAAAACCTCCTAGTGTTTTCATGTACACAATGAACACACCGCACAAATAAAACGTATTGCATTGAAGAGGTATATGCTTTATCAGTAATGATTTTTTAATACACTTACAGTCCCTCAGACATTTTGTGCCAGACGTACCGATCAGAACATCGGTACATCTCCCCGCCAGCTCAGGCAGGCCTAGCCTAAGTGGATAACCTATATCACAGCCCTGTCTATCGGTGCATCTTTGGCTACTCACCGCTCTGGTTACACTATCCTCACGGTCTGTCGTCGTTACCCCCAGATTCGGCTTCTCTATCGAGCAGTGTGAGCGCTGCAGCGTTAATGCAGTACCGGAGGCCGGTGGGAGGCGGCCCGTCGTTGAACAGGTGACCCAAGTGGGCGCCGCAGCGGCGGCAGAGCGTCTCCTCGCGCACCATACCGTAGCTGGTGTCGCGCCGAGTCATCACGTTGGTATCGCGCGGGAGTCCGTCAGCGCCGCTGCCGGCCGCCGCCGTGAACGAAGGCCACCCGGAGCCGGAGTCGAACTTGTCTCCGGCGCGGAACAGCGCCGCGCCGCAGCACACGCAGCCGTACTGGTCCGAGGCGGAGGAGGCAGCCGGCAGGCGACCCGAGAACGCCGGCTCCGTGTCCCCGAGACGCGTCACGGCGAACTGGTGGGGCGTGAGACGAGCCCGCCACTTGGCCTCAGTCAGCGGGGGTTCGGCGAAACTGTCTCCACCATCTCAGCTGCCGCAGCTGCGAGTGAGGTCCACAGGGAGCGGCGCTGACACACTGATTGGGCTGCCCGTGACACTGACACTAGCCGAGATCTGGAGAGGCGCTGCAGAGAGCAGCTGCCTAGGGCAGCGAGCACAGCCAGCCGGCCCGGTAGTCTCAGCATTGTCTGTAACAGAGTCAATCATCATAAACTTCTTCATTACAGTAGGAAAATTTGTAGTCCACTTGGCCTTAAGGGTTTTGATGTAATGAATAGGTAGGCATTCAGACCCAGAATAGTAACTGGTTTCAAAACTGTATTTGTAAAATTATTCAGCACTGGCACTAGCTTAGGTTGTAACTAACCAGTAGATCAAGATGTTTTACAACAAAATTGGACAAAGTCTTTCCACAAGGAATGATCATGACCTAATCATTTGAATAATTCAATTTCAAAATGAACTGCTCACTAAACGTTGAGTAAATTGTCACTTATGCGTCACATTTGTCTATGTGTTGATCTTAAGCTTTGTTTATAGTAAAAAGCCAATAAAACATTTATATGACGTCAATAAACTTCTTCGAAAATTAGATAATATTTTGATCAATATTGATGTTTGATGGGATTATAATTTGTTTTTTAACATAATAGCCTATTTTACAATGATTTTTTTAGAATGAATTCAAAAGGATGATTTTTGAACCATTTTATTTGCATAGACATCAAAGTCTCATGACGTCATATAAAAGGTATTTAAAATATTGAAGAGCTTTTCCTTGTCCTTGATTTTAGCTTCTCACTTTCAGCTAGAAAATTGAAATAATTGCAATACAGGGGATGTAGGGGTCTAAAAATTTTTATCTTTCACGCTGTTTGGTACTCTGTTCGAACAATTTTGCTGATAATCTGACACTATGCCTGGCAACAGATTTGACATGTTGGTGTATTTTTGCATTGTTTATATTAAGTCGCTCAGAAATCAGAATTGAAATCATCCCTTCACTCAGAGTCAGAGCGACATTCATTATATTACTAAACACTCATCCAAGAAGCATCATAAATCTGCTCTTATCAGACCCCAGTCAGATATGATTCTCGTGAATCAGGAATTTAATTATGTTAGTACTTGATGCCATTTCGGAGCCAGTGCCCCACAGGCTGGTGCGCGTAACAGGGGCAGTCCGCCACTGGACCTGCCAGCAGGCACATCATGTGAACATTGGTGGGCTGCTATTTCCTGTCTATGGCCAGCAGTTCATTGGCTGGCTGGTGCTTGTGCCTGGCTGTCAGGAAGTGACTTTGTCTGTGGACTGCGACCAGTGTCGGCTGCACTGTCAAAGATCAGTGAGACTGCTGTGCAGGCCAGTAAATGGGCCACATTGTGTGCAGCCCACCCTTCTGGTGTGTGCTGAAGAGGATGGCTCGGTGCCAGCGCCGCCGGGTGAGGACGGCAGCAGGGCGAGCGCCGCTCGCCGCCTCTGGCTCGGCTGTCTGCTGCTGCAGGCGCTGATCGCCGACAAACTTCGCGAGCACTTCCCCGGACGATCGGCACGCACGTTCGCCCTGCGCGACACAGTGCTGACACAACGCCTCCGCCTGACCCGCGCCGAGGCACAACGCCTCGAGCCCCGCCAGCTGTGGAGCCGCGTCGCCGCCGAGCTGCGCAGCACCGGCATCGACCTGGCGACCACCAAGGTGCTGGGGTTCCTCACAGGCCCCGCCCTGGACGGAGGTCACGTGTGGCAGGGCGGCGGCGGCCTGGCGCTGTGCTCAGCCGCCTGTCTCTTCAGCTGGCCGCGATCGGTGCCCGAGATCGTGCCGCGGTTCTGTGACGGCCGCGCGGCGCCGGAGTGGGCCGATACCTCCGGCCGCGGCACGCGCTGGGCCTGCCTGAGCACCACGCTGGGCGCCGCCGCGCACGAGCTCTGTCACGCGCTGGACCTAGGCCACGCTGAGCACGGTCTGATGGGCCGCGCCTACGACGAGCTGTGGCGGTACTGCGTGCTGAGTACGGAGGGCGCCACGGGAGGACTACGTCGGCCGCCACCGGAGCTGCCAACAGTGCCCGGTGTGCCGGCCGGCCACCGCTGCGACGCCGACTGCCACTCGCGTGCGGCGCCCTGCCCGCCGGCCACCAGCGACCTGACGTTCCTGGACGCCGCCAGCGCGGCGTTACTCTATCACCACGCCTGGTGCGGCGCTGCCGAGGGTGCCGACGGACCAGGAACTGTGCAGATCTCTCCGCAACTGGAGGTTGTGTCGTCTCGGCCGTTGCGCGTGGTAGTGTGCAGAACTGCGGACGAAGAGGCGAAGCTTGTGGGACTTTGGACGCTGAGTGGAGAGGACTACAGGCTGGACTTAGGTCCATGGTTTCACGGTGTTGTGGTGGACTTTCGTGACGCTAATTCGGCCATGATCGGCAGGAATACAAAACCAACTTCACCAGACGTTTCGGAAGAAAGACTTGAGAAACCTTCCGGCAATCTGTCAGACACAGGTGTGTGGAAACAGGATGTGACTACCGATATAGATCTTCCATCGGGACGTCAACAACGCCGGTCGTCTGGACAAGAGGTGGAGGACTTTCTGGGTCATAGTGTTGTAGAGGCTGCTCAAGAGTTTTTGATTCTCGTTGAAAATGATAATGGCGGTCTCGCAAAGCGTGTTTATCGGCTATAAACGGTTCTTTTCAGCCATCGTTACCTACTAGAGTAAAGGAAACTGTATTGTGTCTCTCGCTATAGGTACAGAGTGCTAGTCTGTGCAGAAAGTCTAGTCCGCTGCGTTTGTCTGAAGTCAAGCTGAGTCGTGTGAGGACTTCATATTCCATAGCGTTATGCTGCAACAAGGGAAACTCAATTTATGAATTGTGTTACTATGTTGGTATTAACCCGCGCCCCGCTGGGGGGGCAGAATCTGCCCCCCCTCCCGTTTTTCGCCAATAACTTCTAAACGCGTTACGCCAGCGACGTCAAACTTTCAGTACCTTATCATACATCAATTTGACACGTTCCCTGAAAATTTGAGCGAAATCCGTCGGAATTTTTTTGAGAAATTGACGTTTTAGTGACGTCATGTTCGCCATTTTCCCCTCAAAAACGGCAAAATTTCAAACGCCGCTAACATCTTCATTTTTAAAGGAATCAAGACGTAACAAAAAAGGTTATACGTGATTCCACTTTGTCTATCAAATGGCTATCTCGGTTTTTTGAAAATTTTGGATTTTGGCCCAAATTTTTTCAAAAAACTGACTTTTTTGGGAAAATAATTATAAAATCCAAAATTTTGAGCGTATCGAAAAAACCGGAATATATGTCAGAGAAGTGGTCTATGTGCACCTACATACCAATTTTTAGAAGAATCGGTTCAAAGATGTGGGAGTTATTCAAAATTTTATGACGTCACGACATACAAAAATGTTGAAAAATGATTTTTTTGGAAGTTCTAGACCTCGTACGGAAACAAAAATAGCACCATTCGATTCGCCGTGAAAAACTGCATCAGATAGACACCTTTTTAGGCCTTAAAAACCAACTTCAAAATTTGACCTCACTTGACCTGACCTTGACCTGACCTCGACTTGAAATTCATCCAGAGGTGGTCCATATCACTTATTGAGTGTGCCTATTGAATTCTATGAGTAAAATGACCCATAAAACATGTGTCGCACATGTCCTTTTCTATATTTTGTTTTTGGTGACCTGACCTGACCTGACCTGACCTTGACCTTGACCTTTGAATGACATTGTATGCAACGAATATTGGCTTGGTAGTCTAAGGACATGTTTTGGGCAATCAGGCTCAGTCCATTCTTCGGCAACTACGGTGCAAGGCCGATACTGTAGAAACTTGCATTTTGTACCCTTGACCTGACCTTGACCTGACCTCTGACCTACTTAAGCAAAAAATTTTGGGCTCTTAAGATCCGTCTTGTTGAGAGCTTTCGATTGCCGTTTTCCCCGTCTTTCTACGACCATCGGTTCGGAAGTTAGACAGGGGGGGCAGAATCTGCCCCCCCCCCCCCCCCCCAGCAGGGCGCGTATGGCTGAATAGCCCAGCGGGGCGCGGGTTAAGTTTTGAATAATCATGTCTTAGTTGCAAATCCCCTTCTAAATGAAATCACTCCGTTTCTATGGATTCCTTCACGTTTGTGTTATTAGCAATCGTATTACAATTTAGTCTAGTCATTGACGAACTGTCTGCTGTGCAATGTACCATGCGCATTTTTATATGTAGGTATATCCTAGCTCGCCTTCCTGTGGTAAGATTTCGCCGTATATCTACATTTATTCTTAGTGCGTGACGTAGGCACTTGACATGGGTCATGGGTGATGATGTATTGGAACGCAACGTTAGGGTGCAATATTTGTTCGTCATTGTATTGAGTGCATGCAGCTGACGGAGTTTGTCATTTGTTGTGGGCAGTGGCTATATGATCATATTTGCCTATATCTTTAAGAATCTTGACCCATTACCTACGTCGTTAAAGAAGCAACTTTCTTCACATATTGCAATTCACGGTTCACGTGGACAAATGTACATACCTATCAGCAGTCAGCAGTGTCAGCACTCTGGTCTTGCACGTCGGCCCTTGCAGCACCTACTGTCAGCACTCTACTGTCAAACAGTGGGCCGGGCACCCTGAAAGATGCCTCAGCGATTGTTGCCAAATGCGTTATAGGAATGTACATTGTGCAATTTGCAACATATTGTTCTTGGATATAAATATCGATAGCTAGACGGCTAAATACAAGAAGACCCTTTGTTACGCCTGCCTACACTGCCTAATCGAAGTAGCAATATACGATATTTATCGCCTTGCAATATACCTGTTTTTTGCTTCACCTGTATTTCCGATCTTTGCCAGCCTGTCCGATGACTGGAGAGACGAGAGGAAGATATACGAACAGGATAGAATATATGTTTTCTCGTGCCTCGTGCATGATGAACATTCATTAATGACGTCACGAATTACCGAGCTTTGTAGAAATGCTGCTACTTCATTTAGACTGGACCTTGATATTGTTTACGTATTCGTAAATTTCCTCTCACCTTATGCTGGCGGGGCATTAGTACGGTTAATTATCATTATTTTGATTAACTGTTGGTTTTGCATGTACTAAGGGAATCTGGAAATGAGCGAGTGTATTGTTGAGGGTCTAGCTTGGACATTCAGTCGCATAACAAGGGGCTCGGGACACCAGACAGATACGCCGTGCATTGTGTGCAAGCTGCATTGTGTGCAGGTAGCTTGCATCAATGCCAGTTTGAGTTGGAATGCAGCCTCCTTCTCAGTCCCGACATTTTATTCTCTGGGTGGTTTTAACCCATGGCCCATGCAGCGATAGCCTTTGGGACCTAGGCGCTCGGCTGCAGTTGCTTTCGCCACTCACCCTAGTCCAGATGCAAAGTTAATGGTCACAAGAAGCTTATTTATGTCCCACCAAACAAGCCTAGTCCAGAATTATTGTTAAATATATGTATATCATTTGAATAAAAGAAAAGGACTTAATAGAATCAATCTATTTCATCACCCGAGTGACTATAAGCTTTGCGTCTCGACCTGGGCAAGCAGTGAAAATATATGAGGCCCTGAGCAGGTTCTGAGAGTGAAAGGTTGGAAGGAGCCACTGAGCTAAGTGACTCAGAGAATAAAATGCAAGGACTTTAAAGAGGCCTCAACTCCAACTCTGATCTGTGCTGTCACTGCTGGTTTTGACCCTTATACACACTGTTTCTGACAGTGACAAGTGACAGCAGCTGTTTTGTTTCAGCTCTATTAGGAATCCAGAATGGATGGAATAACTACCATTATATTGTTCAGTCTGGCTATGCTGGTTGGCTGTTACCTGGCTGGACTAATACCACTTACTGTCACTCTCTCTGAGGTGAGATATTTAATTTCCATCAATGACAATGAGTAATTTGGTGCCCTTACTTAGTAGCTGCTCAAGCTTGATGATGATGTAAGGTGAAGAAGAGGCAAGAAATCCCAATGGGCAATTCTTGTTGCTCTGCATATTAACTTTTGTCCTTGTGACTTGCCCTGAAAGATAGCATTCCAGCAGAGAAAAAGAACCCAATGGTGCATGGTAACAAACATAAAACAGTCGCAGTGACCCTGACTTATGTTTATTGTTTTGCTTTTCAGACAAAGCTTCAGTATGTGACCCTTGTAGGAGCTGGGCTTCTGGTGGGCACAGCACTAGCAGTCATCATACCAGAGGGAGTCAACACCATCATCCAGGGGGGCCACAAAGGTAAAAAATAATCCAGCATTGCCTGGGTGATTCTCTTTTGCACCATGTTCTCACACAGTACTGCATTACTGCCACAATCCTGCACAACATCGCTCAAAATCCGTTCTGCCCCGCGGTAATTCCGCACTTTGTCTCCACCGGCTCGTTGCCACTTCTTTAGCAATGTATAATTGATCTGACTGATAAACGAACTCAAAGTCTCCACGTTAACCACGTCATATTTCGATTTTCGAATATCTTGACCTTCATCCACAGTGCCAAACCCAGAACTTAAGAAATTTCCGGATTTTCAGTCGAATTAAGCGAAGTTTGACGTTCTTGCAAAATAGCCGGACGTCGCTCCTCTAACTCATTGTTTTCAGCTGGCAGTGATCACTCCAATCGACCGCAGACCATCTCGGCAGGATTCTCATATCGATCACCGTAATGACTCGAACCCGGAGTCTCGTCACCGGAAATCCTGCTTGCTACTTAGTTATAAACGTTCCCGATATTTTCGCGTTGAAATGGCCCTGTTCGCAAACAGTTTCAATCGTGTTGATTGCCCCACAAATGATCAAGATCAGTGATGGCGTCCCTCCCGCTAGTTTGCCCTCAGCCAGCCGACCCCGGTCTCATTCCTGACCTCTGACCCTGCGCCGTGTGTCTGACCTGTTCCAGCCGCGGCGGCACCCACCGCCGGGTCGGGCCACAGTCACACCCACGGCGAGGGCGGCGGCGCGGAGGAGCTGCACTCTCTGGTCGGCCTGGCGCTGGTGTCTGGGTTTATCCTGATGCTGCTGGTGGACCAGTGCACACATCGGCACAGCGGCGACCAGGCGGCAGGTCGGTGGGCAGGAGTAGGTATAGCTGTGCATAGTGGGCATGTTGGACAATATACTGGACACATCATTTGAAATCGGACATATCAGTGGGCATTAGACTTGTCAGTGGGCGTTAGACTTGTATTTTATTCGTATCAGTGGGCGTTAGACTTGTATTTTATTCGTACAATACCTATCAAGATGAGATGCTGGGACAGACCCCATCAGAGCGTTTGTCAGATAAGAAATGTCTTTTTCATGTGTCACTGTGCATGCACGCTTAGATTACTGATCTATTATCATTCCAAGCCGGCAGCCAGGCATGGTGGATGCCTGGGCCGTGCGTTGTGTTTTCAGGTGCGAGCGTCGCACAGGTGCTCTACAGTCTACCGTACACTCTGCTAACGCGTGACTGTCCTCAGCTGGTGCGGGACGTCCACGGCAAAACATACCTGTTTACCTTCAATGTGACCCATTCTGACATAAATTACTGTGATCTTTAACAATCGCCCGTACAGTTATAGGATGCACAAAAAAAAAATGGTACGATAAAAGCAAATCACTTCGGCAGGATATTAAGCATGGTATAAGTAAAACAGACTGGACTCACCCATCTGCAGCTCACCCCATACCCCGGTCTAGCTTTTAAGTTTCAACACCTGCTCCTCCACCCCAATATAACGCCCCCCCCCCCCTTCCTGTGCGCAGACCCTGAGGGCCGCGGTCCGTCTCGGCCCGGGCCCAACATGACGGCCACTGTCGGCCTGGTGGTGCACGCGGCCGCCGACGGCGTGGCTCTGGGCGCCGCCGTCGCCTCCAAACGAACCGACGTCGAGCTGATCGTGTTCGTTGCTATCATGCTGCATAAGGTCTGTGATGGGGATTGTCGGTGAATGGTAAAGAATTGGAGAGGTGGAGGCGAAAGTTGTTAAGTCCGTGGTTCTGTAAGGGCAATGCAGGATATTATTAGGTCATGAGGAAACCTTCCCTGAATGTGTAATGAGTGTGTCAACAGCTATAGTGGGTACGGTTGGGACGTGTTCAATGATTCAAAGGGTGGTATGTGGCCTCATTGTTGCCGCGGTGGCGGCGGGGCGTGGTGGAACTCGCTTTCCCTCACAGACCAGTGATTACATGCTACGGAACCATGCTACAGACCGATGAGCGGTATGAAAATATGCGTCCGGGAAATCGTATGTCAATGATCTTATCTAAATGCATCAAATTGTAAGCGGTCGCGTTTCCCGTAACGTGAGCGTTGACAGATTATTATATCTCTTTCCTTCTGTTTAGGCTCTGAACCCGTTATTGGAAGAAAAAAAGGAAACCGATTTGAGGATTCCAAAGTAATGAAGCAGTACGTTACCAATGCTGGTATCGACTAACAGCACGAGTTATAGTGGGTGACCGTTGGTTTATTTATTCACTGCTGGCATGCCCCTGGCTCGCCAACACCTGTCCCTAACCCCCCCCCCCTCCCTTGTTCCGTTGTATCGCCCCCTGACCACCATCTCCCCTGCCTCCCCCAGGCGCCGGCCGCGTTCGGCCTGGTGACGTTTCTGCTGCACGAGGGCCTCGAGCGCGCCCGCGTGCGCCGCCATCTGCTGGTGTTCTCTGTGGCTGCGCCGCTGATGGCGCTGCTCACCTTCTTTGGAATAGGACAGGTGGGATTGACAGACTGAGGGCGAGGAGGGTTGGCTGGGGGCTGGCAGGGCAGAAGTGGTTACTGCGATCGACTGGCGGTTATTGATTTATCGATTTCTGACTGCTGGTTTGATGTCGCTGCACGGGAAATTTGTACACCTGCCTACATGTTTCGTAGGGCTTTTTGTGAGCGGAATGCTAGTCGACACATCGCACACTAGTTTTCTGCTCTGAGCGCCCAACCTCCTGTACCGAGCTCCGACTGACGCCCCCCCCCCCCCCCCGTCTGCAGGGCGGCGGCGAGGCGCTGGCCGACACCAGTGCCACCGGTCTGTGTCTGCTGTTCAGCGCCGGTACCTTCCTGTACGTCTCCACCGTGCACGTTCTGCCGGAGGTGGTCTCTCGCGGTGACCGAAAACACTTCTCGCTGACCGAGATGGGCTGTCTGGTGGGCGGCTGCCTGCTGCCGGTGCTGCTGTCGCTCAACCATCACCACTAGCGCCGCCTGGTGGGTATAGCGTGAATTGGGCCGGCCGGAGGACGGAGTGGTGGCCGCTGGGCCCGATGGAGATGGCAGTGGTTCGCATGGTGCTCAGACGGTAGAGGACGCGCCGGCGCTGTCGGAGCCGTGTCGTGCTGGGCACCTGGGCAGCACACCGGTCAGTCGGTGACCTGGAAGGACTGGAGCTCGTCTCCGTCAGTCTAGAGGTACTGCTGATGGCCTTTGCCAGATCGAAGGATGTGATCTGCTCGTCCGTCTAGAGGGGCTGCGGCTGCGCTGTGTCGGGTGTAGAGTGGCGCCAGAAGACTGCTCCCGAACATCTGTCTTAGGATCGTCATCTGCACCTTACGGACCTCAACCCGGCCTGCCGACCGGCTGTTAAGCGTGATATGGAAAGAGGGACTGATCCGTTGTTATTGTTGTTGCCTACTAATGGTACACGCTCACTGCACTATAGGGAGGGGTACACGGCCGACAGCCCGTAGGTGACATTTTAACAAACAATGTCAGGGGATGATGACGTGGGAAAGTTTCAGCTGAATTGCGTGTGGTGAGGTGGATCTCAGTGATCAAAGCTGCAGTGTGCAGGTGTGTCGGGTGAAGGCGCTGGTGACAGAAAACACTTGTTCCTGCGCGGTGTGGGGCTGTGGCGGCGTGTCCCATGAAGGTTCAGCTCTCATCGGCCGTACATTATCACCGGGCCTTTCAGAACTAACCACCCAGTCTTACCAAGCGAATCCCATGTCAGAACAGGAATGAACTGCAGCTACTGGAGTGAACCGCTCACCGTGCTGTGTTTGAACCGTGTGGCTGTGGGACCTGCGGTACTGGGATGGTACGGCTGCCCAAAGAGCGAGTGAATGCCAAAGTGGTGTGGTGCGGTGCCTCCGCTGAGCGAGGCAGATTACGATAGACTAACATCGACCATTCCAAAGGGAAGTGAATGTTAGCTGGGACTGGCGAATATGTATTAAATAGGTGAGTTAGTATTTATTTTAGGGTGGACATAAGTCCGCCAAATGGTTCATAGTGGGAAAATATGCTAGTTCTTTGGGTACACACGAATTTCTTGTCACAAAGCATGACCGTGTCATCGTATGTTTTTAACTCTGAAAAGGTCCCGGTGTTTGAATGTATTGTCTGGCTTCCGAAGGGTGTGGGGGTGAGAAGCCAGGAAATCGCTACCTATCGGATGAGTGACGAAAACCGAAACTGTGTGGATTGGGAGAGCGGGGAAGCCGTTATAATGAGCACGACTGTCTATTGGTGGGGCGGTCTTGCGACAGGGACCGTCGGAGCGCTGCAATTTTATACTGAACGTGGGTGTTGAAAGTGGAAACAGCGCCGCCCATTTTATCGTACGTCATGTGGAAGCTCTGTGGGTGCTGGTCACAAAAAAATACATTGTTACTGATCGGATCGATGATTTGAGACAAGAGCGACAGTGTAAGATGCATGGATGCCTCTATCCTCCCCTCCCAGCAAGCTTATAAGTTGCAACCATCCACGCCATGTCCCCCTCGACCATCTCTTCCGCTCTTTAGCAGACTTTTAACATGTTCTGCCCGACCTTCTCAGCTAGCTACCAGATCAAACCCTAAGCTGTAGCACGTCTCCGATGCACATCCGGCTCTGTCCTACGCTGTTACGCAGTCACTGTATTGTACACTGTAGGGCGAGCGGGGGATAAGGAGGGCGCCCTCAGGCCATGTATCACTGGAGCCCGGTCCCAGCGCGCCGCGTTTGTACCTCGCGCGCCGTCAATGTCGACGGCGGCTATCACTGTCCGTGGCCGACGTCACCGTTTGCCGCAGCTGGCTGGTCCGTGACGATGCGTAGAACGACGACCGTCACACTCACGCGTCACTACTCTCCCGGCGCTCCGAAGTTCACTCTGCGGCTTGGAAAATCACCGCGCACTCAGCGAGCGAGCTAGTGGGCCGCGACGCGAGACGAAAAGCAACAGTCATACAAAAACGACCACGTGCACGCCGGGGGCTGCCTAAAAGAGCCTCACCCGGCCAGCCAAGTCCACAGCGCTCGGCTTTCGCGTCCATTTCGGTCCCAGCGCCGAGCGGGCGGCGTACTATTGTCATTGTACGGGCGGGGCGGCCGTCGGCCCACACGCGCCCCTGTCGGCAGAGGCTCGTTCACTCGCTGTACACCACCGGCACGTAGTGTGCCGAGTCATCCATGTCCGACATATGGGCCATTGTATCCATGGTCTGTCGGTTCTGGTTGTTCCGGCCGCTGAAACGAAACGAGATAAACGTTACCAAGGAAAATCAACGGTACTTGTATTTTCTTAACGGCCGCACGGCGACTTATCGTTATTATATGATCACAAAATCTATGGATACGATTAAGCATAATATGTTTACGGCTAATAAATATACATCAACGAAACACCTTGCTGAGCCGACACGCCGTAAACCGTAAGCCCAACCAAGTGACTGGACAATGCCGTCACTATCGCCCCCTGACTCATAAGTAGCTATTCAGGAGTAAACACAGTTCGTAGTTCTCGTCGGCATCCCGTGTGCGAATACTTTCGGTGATTACTTACTTGGCTTTGGCGTGAGTGAGTATATGCGACTTGAGGTTGGTCGACTGGGCGAACTTTTTGCTGCAGCCGTCGAATGGACAGACGTAAGGCCGGTCGCCCGTGTGGATCCGCACGTGGGTTCGAAGGTTGAAGTCCAGCGAGAACCGCTTCCCGCACCCTTCGAACGTACACTGCGGTAGAGATGGAAAAATCGCGCGTCATATCACAACACTTTGGGAGAAAGGCAAGCAGTGTAGACGTAGGATTAAAGTGATGACTAAGTCAAATCCAAACAACGGAGCAAACAAACAGTCGCGAGCTTGGACAGTCAAAGGCATTAGCACCTGTATTGTATTGTATTGTATTGTATTTACATTTAAGAGCGATCCACATACAAAGTGCGTGGCGATTACCAGCGCTAGAGAAAAGAACTCGATATTAAACAAGGCAACCATGAAGCAAGTAATAAGACAGGCGCCGATCACTTTTAAATCGATCTTTGGAAAAGACAAACGGACAACTGAGGGGAGAGTCAGGAGCCATGAGCGGGCCGGCAAAGGGTGAGCAATCACTGCGTAGGCCGGCGACGGTCGGAGGAAAAGTAGCCACTTAAGTGGGGAGGGAGCAGACGGGAAAGTAGTCCCCGCAGAGGACAGCGAACATCGGCGGCCGTTGGGACGCACCTGGAACGGCTTCTCGCCGGTATGCACCAGCTGGTGCCGCTTCAGCTTGGAGCTCTCCACGAACGCCTTGCCGCACTCGGCGCACACGTGCACGCGCGGCCCGTGCGTATGCAGGTGCTTCCGCATGGCAGAGTTGTCGCGGAACATCTTGGAGCACCCCTGGGACAGGCATCAGCCGATCAGTATTGGAACACTCCTAACTATTGCATAAACGGACACTATACCTACAGTTTTTACATTGAAAAATAGCCAAGCCGAGGTCCGAGGTCGGAAAACGGTCTCTAGCATGGAGAGAAACACACAAGTCACTTGGACGGACAAACCATTTCACAAACCGACACAATTGACAACTAGCTACAATCACAAGCAGCATTTATCGGATTTGTCCTGCAGCTGCGGCGTACCTTGTTTTCTACGCCGTTTTGTGGAAATTGATTAGGGCAATAAAGGGATTGATTGGTTTGTCCATTACTCTAAAAAATGAAAAATTAGAATACAAGAAACTGAAACAAGTATGGGCGAGCTAATCATCTGTCATAAAAAACTCCGAAGAGCTGCCAGCAGTCTGAGCCCACCTTGTGAGGACAGGCGATGGTGCGTGGGGCATCATCGGTCTGCTTTTTGGGCTTGATGCGGGCAAACTCTGCCAGCTGCTTGGGGTCGGAGAGGTCCAGGCCAGGGATGCCCTCAGCGGGGATCTTCTTGCCCATCATGTACTCAGTGTAGTCTGGGTCAGGCTCTGGTGTGCTGGCATCATCCACCGACAGAGGATCCCGGGAGCACTCATCTGCAGAAACACAAAAATAGTCAGAGGTCAGGATGTCCTATCATTTAATCATCCAAAGAGTAGGACATAGATGCCTCTAAAACTGAATAACAATAGCAAAACTATCTGATTCAATTGAGCTCACAGCCTATTGTGTTGCCTGTTGAAGGCTGCCACTGGTAAGCCCTCATCCAGGCATGAGTTGTATCAGAGTCGTGTCATGCTTTGATACCCCATCATTGAAAATAAAAGGTGTGTAGTTCAATCCGAAACCTTACATTCATTGGCTTATGCATGATCAAGACCGTAAAAGTTTAACAAAAGGACTTGACATCAGTGAGCGACATCTGGCACTCCGCACACAACAACCAACTACTACTTTACACATTGGCGATAGATGGCAGCGCCTTCGCGCCAAGGTCAATACCTCAATGCGCATGCGCATAAGTGGAGTGCAGAAGACAGTACTGGCTTGGTGATAACAACTTTAATCTATCGTCACAAGTCTATCGAAGTCTTAAAATTTAAGTATAAATGATTTCAACAAATGATGAAAAATAACTGATGGTTTTGAAACAACCAAAGATATTTTTATCCATTTACACCAATCGGGACACTGGTGTTCTGGTAAGTACCCGTACTTACATGTTACCGAGCTTGACCACCTCTAGTAAGCACGCAAATATTTCAGGAAATCGGCGTGCGATGACACAATATGCTGGACAGAACGTTCAAATAACGCAGCAGAGCTACTAGAAAAAATATGGGAATATCACGCTGAGCCCTAAATGAATAAGGAATCATTTTTATTCGGCAGCAGTTCACGAAGCCATCATGGCGGACGAGCTGTACATGGTGGCCGCCATGATGGCTAGACGCCATATTGCCTTAAAATATGGCTGCGCCCATGGTGACCGATGAATGGCCGACCAAAATATAAACAAACCAGAGAACTTCGAAATAACTCACTTTTTACTACTTGAATGGCCAATGCGACCAGAGAACAATATAACATGATGGTTAATGACATCGCCAACAGCATGAGAACAAAGAGAACGTCGGAAACGTACCATCATCAGCGCCTGAAGACCACATTGTTACGCTGAACTCTCCTTCTAATGTCTTGATCTGAACTTGTTTTTGCTCCCATTTTTTGGAAGAGCCTTCAGCATACGCATAATCATTTTTGCATCGGGTAGCCTTGAGGGTTGTTTGCCGGCGGCGAGCACTAACACTTCTCTTTGAAAAATTGGTTGTGCCGTAGTCCAGGTCCAATTCAGCCTCAGTGGGAACCTGTATGTCGTAATTAAGGTCCTCAGCGCCATCACCTACAATTTCTTCATGTGTCTGAAGAAAAATATCTTCACCACCTGGCTCGTGCAGGGAGGGACGAGCAATTAGTTGAATGCTCTCAACGGAATCCACTGGCATTTCAACCGGAATCGACTCGATCTCCACTTCCTTTAGTTCAGGCTTGATCTCCATGCCACCAAGCACGTCCGACGACGCCATGACTATTGGAACAAAATGCATATAACAATTATATCATGCAACTATCGCGCACAACACTCCATTCAGCACCACAGCCCAGAACACACACCACCGCTCCCACACCGCAGCGCGCTCACTCGCCGGCGCCTTGTGACAGTGCTGCCAGATGGGGAAGGCTGTAATCCTCCAGATCAGTTACAAAAATCCTCTAGATTCCTCCAAATCCTATTGGTAGATATAGAAAGGCGGTCTTGGAGTCTGCGGGGGCTATACCCCCAAAAAAGTTTCACCAAATTCTAAAAACTCATCGGATTTCGAATCCTTTCGCACTGCTGTGCAGTTTAAAAGATACTTTTTCTTATTAAAGTTTAGTTTTCGTTTTATCCTCCAAAAAGAAACGAAAATTTTCGTCGATTTCGGGCGCTGCAGGGGAACCGGGGGCATTTGCCACCAAATGTCCCCCTTAGATCCGCCAGTAGTTTGGTACCCTCGTAGATATAGCTACAAGTACAGACAGACATTCTGCAGTCTCACGGTGATAAAGGACGTGATATATCCTAACGGGTAGGGTGACGCTGGGCAGGAAAATGCCTTTTTAGTCTTGAATGTGTTATATTTTTCCATGAAATTGAATATAATAATCGGGCGACAAATCCTCCAGATTTTCCTCCAGAATCAAAAATCCTCCAAAAGCGAAATTTGTCCGCAAATAGAGTTCAAAATCCTCCAGATTTGCGGAAATCCTCCAAATCTGGCAGCACTGCCTTGTGATTGGGGAATCGCAGAACATTGGCGCCGGAGGAGAAGCATACGACATCTAGCGGCAGTAGTTGAAGCTGTAGTAGTGGCTAATTTTACAGCAGTGGCAGGCCTGCATCAGAATTCGGTGATGATTTCCTATAGATGTCAGTAGAAGCACGAGTAAAAGCCTGTTGGAAGTCGTTCGGCTGTTTGTGAGTAGGTAAGATCGGTAAGATAAGCTTTTGCGAAAAAAAATCAAAATGCGTGGACACTGGACCGATCTGAACGGACTGAAATTCACCACAGCCAGATACGTTTATCCTTTGGGCACGTAGGAACACCTCAGTAGTGGCGGAACACCTTCAATTAAGGGGGGGGGGGGCACTGCCGACTTTTGGTCCCATTCTTTCCATACAACGCCCATAGGGCTAATGTTAAAACTCCCAAATCAAATAGGGGCACGGACGGTGCCCCGGTGCCCTCCCCGTTCCGCCGCCTATGGATCACCTCACAATTTGTGTTTTATCAGGTTAGGTACCACCGTTAGGTTAGGTTAGTTACGGTACCACCGGTACCATCGAGCCATGCCATAAATTCGTCAGGCCACCCGCACCGACCAGGACCCAAATGTGGGGATGAAAATCGGGACCTGTTAGAACGTCGTCAAGTGTGGCTGCTAAGGGTTTTTTTCGGGGTGCTGATCACGAGTATCATGTTAATTTTGATCACAGACGTTGCCTTCATGCATTTAGGCCAGGTCGGGCCAGGCCAGGCCAGGTCAGTAGGGGTCCTGGCAGGTATTCGTTGTAGGTGTCAACCACCTCTGACAGCTTCGTACATGTTATGAAGGTAGGGGAAAGTGGGGTAAAACGGGCACCTTAACTTTGGAGCCATTTTTCGGCCGGTTAAAAACATCATAGAAACGGGAAGCTGAGTGAAAACCTTTTTAACACATTTTACTTCCATTTGCCAGAAGAAAGATTTAGAGCTGATTCAACAAAAAAGCCACAGCTATTTTTGCAAAACCTTACAAAAACCCGTCTTACCCCACCACATGGGGTAAGGCGGTCACATGGGTAGGGCAAGACGGCCAGCTTCTTTCACCGACCAGCGCAGCTCGCAACAAATGCCCGAGATTAGCCGCATTGATAGGGTAGCCTGGGGCAAGACGCCCCAGATAATTTATTTTGCTACATAACTTTTATTCCACATAACCTGGAAGGCCAAATTTGTGCTCAATGCGTTCTTTGGACATTTTACTTTAATTTCCACCCCTCAAATTCATTCACTTATGATCGGACTCCCAGCTAGGAAGTGGTTTGTGAAGCAACTGCAAATAGGGCGTTTTGCCCCAACCCCAGGGCAAAACGCCCCACGGCCTGGGGCAAGAAGCCCCATACTCTAGATTAAAGATTAAACATGCTAGTTGACTAAATCTTATATGAAAGGTCCGTTGGACCTTGGGAGGCATGGCACTGAAGTTAGCACCTTCCATCCTATCAGGTGTTCAGCTACGACACTATTGTATGAGCAGGTTTTTCACCTGCCTCATAAGGCCAAATAACAAATTATTGCAATGCAAATGTTAACAAAATACTTCCATTGCCATCCAGTTGCTGAGAAAAGTACATATAAATGCATAGAAACATACCGTTCGCCAGCTACCGAACGTTAGGAAGTGGGTAGTCCGAACAACACATGAGGTAAAACGCCCCATGGGGCTTTTTGCCCCGCGACCTACTGGGGCGTTTTACCCCATCACGTAGTTCGGTCAGAGAACAACGCCTTGCACTCCAGGAAGACATAATTTAACACGAACCAACCCGGCATTGTAAGCGTTAGACAATAGTTGTTCAAAATACATAAAAGTCGTTAACCTGATGTGGACGATAAAAGAACGCCATGATGCATAATCTGATAACAAAACATAAAAATCACTCCAAAAACACATTTTTGGCTATATCTCCCTAAAGAGTCATCACAATTTATTTCCAGTCTGCTCATATAATGATCGTATAGTGCACGTTTTATAGAAGGGAGGATGTTTCCCCAGAACCTTGCCAGTTCCGAGAAACATCGGTGAGGCGTTTTACCTCGGCGGGGCGACTTGCCCCGGTCTACCCTACAGTCGCTCGTTGGTCTCAAAAGCTTCGGAAATGGCAGTAAACGAGATTCGTGCAGAAGACGTATGCTCGTATATAGGCCCTAGTTCAGAAACCTTGTAGAGCCGTTTTTCACATTCATTATTCGAGAATAAACTGTGCCGAAGGAATATTGCGAACATGTCTGTGGGTATCGAAATCGAACATATTCTTACCAAAATGCTTCTTTTTTTCCTACAGCAACACAAATATTTTCACCATTACAGACACATTGGATCCATAGTTGCCCGTCTTACCCCAAACTCAATGTCAGAAGTTCAGCATTATTTTCTTCACATGACCTCCGCTCCAATGAATTGGTCATGTGCACGGGAAGTGTACCGGCAAAACTGTTGCCCAAGGCCCTATACTGTTGCCATGTGCGCACAGCCAGTATTGGGCTCTTTTTCATAATTGTCGCGCTGACGAAAACTGTCGTCATGTGCGTCCGCCGGTCTATTTTAGGTTCGTTACATAACTGCCATTGGCAGGTGTGTGTTTTCCAGTCGTCTGCTCCCTCGTTGTCCCCTGTAAGTGACTCGATACACGCCACAACTGTCTGGTATCTGTCGCCCGTCTCTACACCCAAACCGGTGTCACGGAGGCCGCCGTCGCCAATGAGGGATAGAGCACCACCGTGCAGCGTGATGGCCGTAACTTTCCACGGCGCAGTCCTTTGAGACCAGGAATAAACGAGCAGCAGACACGCGTTCCCGCGCCGCCTCTGTCCAATACGAGTCGGTGCACTGTCATGGCCAGGAAACAGACCATAAATACCGTATTGAATAAGACGCGGCGACGATAATGGCGCCCGTCATTGATGGTGCGCTGGCGTATCGAAAACGCCCGCCGTCATTGTTCCCGGTTTTTACATAGATACCGGTGGCTGGCTGGGCCCTCGTCAGTCGTTTAGGAGGGCAGGCGAGAGCAGCACGCCTTCCGAGAGCACCTCCGCTATACCCTACTCGTCTACCGCAGCATCAGCGGCACTGACATCACAACCATCACCATCGTCATCATCACCAGTGCCGGGAGAGACTCTGCACCAGCAGGAACCTCTGACTATGTCGAGCGCCGGCGCTCTACGGCAGGCCGGTCTGCCGTGGTCATCAAAACTTCCGGAGACTCCTGAGAACCTGACATCACAAGACCCACTGCGAGTGGTCGCCTTCGATGACCCTCCCTACGTGAGCGTCCATCACCGTCCTGATGGCTCAGTCAGCTTCAGCGGCTACCTGTTCCAGCTGTGGCAGATCATTGCTGACGAGCTGGATCTCAGCTATCAACTAGTGGCCATTCCACAAGACAGCGGCTACGGCAGCATGGACGAGAACGGCACCTGGACAGGTATGGTGGGCGAGCTGACTTACGGACGCGCCGACCTGGCGCTCACCTGGCTCAACGGCCGGCCGGACCGCGCCTCTGTGGTTGACCTGATCGACGCCGTGCCCGTGGAGCGCGAGAGGTACACGTTCTACCTGCGACAGGGCGCGCGGCTGGTGCCGAAGGTGACGCCGACCATGCTGAGCTCCATCTTCCGGCCGCTGCATCTGCACGTGTGGCTGCTGCTGCTGGCTGCGCTACTGGTGCTCGCCGCTGCGCTGCGCCTGTCTTCGCGGTACGATGGCGAGTCCTCTGGGCCGACTGTGGAGGACCGGAGGGCGCGGGAGCACCTCGGCTGGGGCTCCTGTCTGTTCTCTGTGTTCATGTCAATGGTGGGCCAGGGTTGGAGCGTCACGCCGCGCTCCAACTCGGGCCGTGTCGTCACCAGTGTGACTTGGATGCTGGGCATGTTGATCAACATCAGCTACACGGCCAACCTGATCTCTCACCTCGCCGTCACCACGGTGGACCGACCCATCAGCAGTCTGCAGGAGTTCGCCGAGCAGCCCGACTGGCTGCTAGCCGTGGAAGCCGGCACCGGCATCATCAACGACTGGAAGAGCAGTGACAGCGCCCTGGAGCAGGGCCTCTTCCGCCGGGTGATCAGCGGCGAGGGTCTCCTGCGTCTGGACGGCACGCGGGAGAGCGCCAGCAGGGCCATACAGCCGCGCGTGCTGGCCTACATCGACCTGCACCGCCTGACATACGCGCTGGGCTCGGAGGCGTGCGCTGTGGTGCCGCTGCTGGACCGCATGCCGTCCTACCGCAGCACCTACCTGGCCATGGCCAAGGGCAGGCCGCGCCTGAAGCGGGCCATCAACCGGGTGATGCTGAGAATGGACCAGAGCGGCACCCTGGACAGGCTGAAGAGCATGTGGCTGAGGGCGGGCCGCGGCACGTGCCAGCCGTCGGGAGGGGTCAAAGCGCTGGCGTTTGGTGATATGCTTCCAGTGCTGTTGTTGATACCCATCGCGGTTTTCTTCAGTGCAGTCATTGTTGTCTTGGAGGTGATATGGCACAAACGGTATGTTTTCAACTGCTCATCACCAAAACCGCTAAGAAATAATTTCATTTGGTATAAATGAACCGATGGTAGAATGAACAAGATAATAAATGTTACCATAACAGAGATTGAGTATGGAATATAGATGGTGGGCTCAGGTTAAAACTGCAATATTGAATACCAATAAAATAAAAGCATTAACCCTCGCACGACCAGGCCATTTCTCATAACACGAACGACCAGGGGGGGGGGGTGTTACGACCCCCCCCCTGGCGTTTCGAAACGGAAGGTCGTAGAGCTTAGCGGAAAAAACCAACGGATTGCTCTCAACAAGATCTCGCGATTGGTGGTATATTTTTTGGTCCTAGGTCAACATTTGACCTACTTATGACCGGTCAAAGGTCAAATTTTCCGAAAAAAATCAAACTTTTTCAACTTTCCGCGGCGATTGCGGCAAAACGGTGGGAGATATCGACTTGAAACCTTCACTATCGTGTTCCTTGATCAATTCTCTATCGTTTGGTATGTATTTCGTTTCCCTAGCTCTAAAAATGGCGCGTTGGGGGCGCCGGAAGTCGGCAAGGTCACAGTCGGCGGCAGAAATTCGAAAAATCAAAATTTAAATTTTTGAAATCTGATTGTATTTTTGGATTTGGGAGGTCCATTTGCTCCCTATAGAAGCTAATATTGCTGCATATTCCCATTGAGGTGACAAGAATTAGCAAAATAGTGGTTCGGGCGCTTTTTAAAAATAGTACCGGACGCTGTTCCTCTTGTGACGTCATAGCTCCGTGACCTGACCTGACCCGGTCAATTTTCTTGCACCACACGATAGCCAATGCTTGCCCCAACATGCATGGGAAGTTTCATCATGATCCATCAAACAATGTGGGTATCACCGGCAGAAAACCTAGGGATTCGGCGCACACGTTTGGTAACTGTCGGCCGGAGGCTGTACCTCTTATGACGTCATAACTCCGTGACCTGACACGACCCGATCAATTTTTTTCGGCAAAAGATGCGCAAAGGTTGCCCCAGAGGGTATTGAAAATTTCAGCCCGCTACGACAAGCCGTTTAGCGTGCACTTCGAAAAACCTCAGGGGGGGGGGGGGTTGATACAACCCCCCCCCCCCTAGGCGTTCTAGGGTTAAGCACATTCGCATTCTAGGCAGTTTATTTGTTCCTCAATTCCCATACCGGTATCCACGTTCGCATCGGCTTTCAGTCCAAGTGTTCTCGGCATTATGTAAAGCCTCAGGAATACAATTCACAGTACATAAGGTCACATGTAATTGAACTTCCGCCAACGCATCGAACGTCCGGTGACCCAGGTCGCATATGAGTTATGGGTGACCTTTACCCCATTCATTAGGTGCAACTTACATAAAGAAAACATTTGGAATCCCTCGGAACAACGATCAAATAATGTGGCGATGCGGATATGAAACACTTCATATGTAGCCGTAGGTATGCATTTCCAATCCATAAAGCGTGAAACTGTAGCTTTTAGCGGTTAATGTGAAACTTTTTGCAGGCAGTCTGAGCTGTCACACAAGTCAAATTTCGCATGCGACCGCAGTGCCATTATGGCTATCGCTATCAGCTGGCGTGCTCTCGGAGGCAAACGTGACAGGCCACTGGCACAAGTTGGAGCTCGACCTCATCACGTGCCGTGTTTATTGTGAAACTTCCCGACAGGTGCTGTGCGCCGCTGAGAAATGTGCGCGACTTCCACGGCCCAAGTTAGCGCCCTCCGCTACCGCTGCCTAAAACACGGCCGCGGTACATTGGCATTGCCGTCAACAGACACTTTAAAACGATATTCTGCTCAAAGATTCAGACTCCCAGCTGGTTATTTCATAAAGTCACGAAGCGTAGCATTAACCTAGCTAAAATCATTGTGCTTCGATGAGAAAAAAGCGAGGCACTGCCGCCAAGAGAAATATGTAGGTACGATCAGAAAAGACCATCGCATGTTTTACTCCGTTTGCTGTTTTACGTGAGTAGATTCATGAAACAAATTATTTAAAACCATCCAAAAAGTTAGTAGAGATGTTACACAAGTTTAACAGCTGTATGGAGGTGCATCAAATTACATAAGGTAAGGATATTTGCCCCAACCTAGGCGCCTAGGCGTAGGCATCTATCTACCTCTTTCCTTCTCTCAATTTCTCCCAGTTTCCCTTCTACCCTTGCCTTTTCCATAGCTTGTGGGCAGTAGTGCCAGCGACCTCGATGCTCGTATTCGGAGCGCTAACCCAGTTTCCCTGCCTCGTAAAGGCTGCCGTAAATTCAGCGGCGCCGCAGTAACGGAGCCACGAGGACCGCGACCGGCGGAAATTAGAGATTAAAGATTAGACTGCCGGCCAGCCGCAAGCCAGCCCAAATCCTCCGGTATCGCCCCGAGTTTTTATTCGGCCGAGACGGGTGGGATGTTTCGCCCCTCGCGTCCAGCTCCTATGCAGCCTGCTGCTTCTTAGCGTATTCATGAGCCGAGCAGCAGAGAGCAACAGATGGGAAACAAGCTCATCAACTGCATGAGCCACCTGTCCCTCGTCGCTGATGTGTTCAGAATAAAAGCATGCAGTCAAAAATGTATGGAAAGGAGACTGGGAGAACGTGAATAAAGGACTGCCGACTGGGCATTGGAAATGGCCAATGGGCGAATCTTGTACAGATCATCATGCATTTCTGAGTTACAATAATGTCCAAAGAAAAAACTGCTTCTAGGGTAACATTTGTTAACATCTCGCTCGATAACGGTAAATCACGTCACGTCAGGTAGACAGAAATGGCCACACATCGCGATGTGTGACCATTTCTGTCTAATGTACCGTCAACGTATCTACCTAGAAATACTCGTATGTTGCAATTTGCTGGAATATCATTAACATATCTTGCATTGTCGCATGTAAGGGCCCCGACCGATGTATGCAGACGAGTGGCATGCCTGCACATCAGCCTTCCCCCTATCCCTCCTTCCTCCTTCCCTCTTCCCTCCTCGCTCCTCCCTCCTCGCTCCTCCCTCCTTCCCTCCCTTCTCTCTCTCTCTCTCTCTCTCTCTCTCTCTCTCTCTCTCTCTCTCTCTCTCTCTCTCTCTCTCTCTCTCTCTCTCTCTCTCTCTCTCTCTCTCTCTCTCTCTCTCTCTCTCTGTCTCTGTCTCTCTCTCTCTCTCTTTCTCTCTCTTTCTCTCTCTCTCTCTCTCTCTCTCTCTCTCTCTCTCTCTCTCTCTCTCTCTCTCTCTCTCTCTCTCTCTCTCCCGACTAGAAGTAAGCACAACCAAGAGGAGAGGATATTGCAAGAAGAGAGCGAAGAGTAAGAAGCGCGGATAGACGGGACGATGAGGCGGCGGATGGCCGGTGGCCGCGGGCAGAAAAATAGCCGCCAGCCGGGGCTGTGTGGATGGCCCGGCCTGTTATTGCGCCGCCCCCGGCCGGCCGCGCTGCGGACCTGTTTGTTGACCCTCGCCGGATGATCCGGCTCAAGCCTGGTTATACAAACGGCGAGCAACACCATTTATATATCGGCTCATATTGTCGCCGGTCGCCGGCGCAGCGGGGCGGTTCGCACAGAGATTGGCAAAAGGAGAGGAGGGCTCTCTGCAGAACTTGCCTCGGTTGTTACCTCGGTTATATGGCCTTGTTTGTTACAACGGAAAGTTTGGTGAGAGCATCTCAGCAGCGTAGGTACTTACCAGTATGAATTTATGTTCTTTCTCCTTGCCTTACCAATGGCTCATATTTTTCTCGCCCTTCAGAATGAGTCATTTAGTCATTTCGACGCCTCTGGAAATTTCATAGAAAGTGTAGATTGTCATACTTATATCTTACTTTTATTTAGGTAGGTTCTTACAATTTACATGTTTTTCTACACTTGCCATTCAGCCATTCACAACCGATTATACCTATTGTACCTATAGTTGGCATGTGTAGACATTACATATATCCATTCGACAATTTTTTTCTCAAAGTTTTGTTCTTATTGTGCCCTTAGGAATTGCAAAGCCTTTATTCGTTATTGAAAGCATGCTTTTGGCGTAATCTCTACTCTCTGACCTATGTATTGTAAAGGTCATCGATTGCACTGATATCCTAGAATTAACTTCTAACTTTCTGAGCTTATTTCGTCGAAATTGTCTAACACAAATCAAATTAAACAATCATAGTGCATCAAATCAGTCAAGCCATGGCTCGTAATCCACGAATAGGCTAGGAAATAATCCCCCACACCATTAAACCTATACAGGACCGTAGATAGACATAAAACAACACAGGCGAAAACAAACCATTCCCGGCGGAAAATGGCGGCCGGCCACCGGCATTAGCTCCGCATTTCCATTTATGTCAGTGTTTTACGGCGCTGAAATCGAGCTGTCGTCGATATGGCCTGGGGGCTAGTTGTGGCCGCGGCGCGACGCCAAAGGCGGCCGTCAACAGCGCGTCGCTTTTGTCGCGATCGCCGTCCGGCGTGCGTCGAAATTGCAGGGTATCGTCGGACTGATTCTGGGGGTGGCTCGTGATCGGTGGAGACACGATGCATATCGAACAGGATTCACAGCGTGTTGAATGAGGGAATAGTCGGCGAAAAGGAGACGGAAAATAAGCGCGTTTCACGGTGATTTTGAGCAGCTCCGTCAAAGCAGATAGTTCTGCATGCACTGAATAAGAAACGTGATTTAAGTGGAGCCCGCTGGACATCATCAAAGAATTAACATTTCAGGAACAAGTTATTGACAGTATACCTACAGGTGTAGGTAAAACGCACTAAAAATCAGGACCATGCTGCAAGAAACGTAGCGTGGGAGACATTTCGCCATAAAGATGCGCCTACAGATAAGCAGCATTTACAACACATGCATACATGCATATTGCATGCAAATTGCATGGTGCATGCAAACGCTCGTTTCCCGCACATCAAACAACAATATCTCCATATCATGCCTGTTTGACCATCTCCCGACATGTGACCAAGCAGCTTCCCATGACGGCCCACCCTGTCCCAGCCTTCCCCTCCCCTATCCTCATTCCTCCACCCCTCTCCCCAGTGATATGTCGTCAGCTGGCCTGGCTCCTATCAGCGCCCCAGGAGCCTGTGACACCCAGCGTCCCTG